TCACTAAGTTAAATACTACCGTGTTCACTACAGTATACAAAACCTTAGTGAGAATTAAGCTTGAGAACTGCGTTCATGCTGCAAGCCCCTATTTAAAAGGTGACTCGGGTATCCTGGAAAAAGTATAGGGAGCAGCTACTCGTACAATTCCAGAACTCCGGGGTTTACCATACAAAGAGCGGCTTGAAAAGCTAGACCCCTTTACTCCGTCCTATCGCAGGTTAAGGGGATATCTAATTTTGATGTATATAATACTAATAAATGATTTTGAACCTAACGCATTCTATCTTTTGCTTCCCACTAGATCGGGACATCTCAGAGGACATAGCAGGCGAGTAGAAAGGCCAAGAATGAACAAAATACACGTGGCATACAAGTTTTCACATCGAGCCATCAGTTTTTGGAACCTGTTACCCGAAGCACTGGTGTCCACACCTTCAATTGACTCATTCAAGAGAAGACTATACACTCACAGTGGCATAATAGAAAAGGAATAACATAGGCCTTAGGCCCTCTGTCCTTACTACACAAATCTGAACTTGAAATCTGATATATTAATTGTCATCTCTGTGCGAAAGTGATTGGGAAAACTGCCTTGTGTGTTATTCCTGGATGACAACTATTGACTATTTTTTGTCCCTCGGGTTCTTCTGAGCAAAAAATATAATAATGCTTCCTAGTGACAAAAATCTATCCCATCTCATACAAATACCGCAGCAAACAATCAGGTTCCTTATTTCTGTCCAAAAAATTGAAGATGCAGCTGAAAGAATTGACGTCTGCATCTTCAGTTGATTTATTCACGAGCTTAAACATGTTAGAATAGAACAAAAACAGGTATTTCATCACCCTCGAGTAACCTGAAGTTAGAATTTATTCAGCGCAGTTTCAAAAGTAACGCTACGTCTACAACAGCATTGTTGGTATTGGCAGTTGGACCATAATTTTCTAGTGTCGATTCCAAGATTGTTTTAATTTAAGAATTGTGTTGTTTCTGGCTGTTTAGTCTTCAGTTGTAGGGATGGGAGGTCTATCGACCTATATTAATCCTTGCAGTTAATAACACTGTGGAGGTCTACAAGCTGACTTAGACGATTTAGTTAGATGGGCTCGAGAGTGGGGCTTAGAAATCAATGTTAGGAAAAGTGTGCTAATGCACATCGGTTATGGTAATAGTTACCGTTATACTATTGAGGGTAAACCTCTTCCATGCGTTCAAGAGCATAAAGACTTAGGAGTAGTATTAAGTCATGATTTAAAACAACTACGCATTGCAAAGCAGCCGCTGTCAAAGGTTTTCGTGCGTTATGGTCACTTCGCCGAGCGTTCAAATCTTTTGACGAGGGAACGTTTCGAATTTTATATCCCATATATGTTAGACCACATTTAAAGTACTGTATCCAAGCAGCTAGCCCATGTCTGGTAAAGGATACTAACTCCCTTGAGCGTGTCCAGCGTGTGGGAACGGAATTAGTAAAGGGTCTTTCTAGACTCCTTTACGATGAGCGTTTAAAACGCCCAAATTTTCTCCCCTTGTCGTATCGTAGGACACGAAGTGACCTTATACTGGCATTTCGTATCTTTAATTATGATTTGGGTGTTAATATGTCTTATCTTTTTGCTCCCTCCAGCACTAATAATCTCTGAGGTCATAGCAAGAAGGTTTTTAAACCACGATCTAATAAACTTAAAGTGGTGTCCCGTTTTTCTCATCGAGTAGTCAATGATTGGAACGCCTTACCCGAACAAGTGGTATCAGCCCCATCAGTGATTTTGAGATCACTGCTTGAAATCGCTGACTGTTCTCGATTGGTTTCGTTATTAGGTGTGAATGCATTATATACGCTTACTGGGTCGTTGACTCACCTCTTGTTCTTCACTATTCCAGTCTTTGCTTACGTTACTCTGTATGCTCCCCTAGTACACAAAGTACTTTCTAGCTAGACGTAAACCATCACGTAGGCAGTGGGGTTTTCTCTTAGATTAAACGAAGAGTTACTGCATTCAATTACATCCCAGTCTCTAGATTTTAGGGAAATTGAGGGGTTTTCATGCAATTTCCCCAAAGTTTCCTGTTGTTGCTTCCCCGAAATCAGGATATTGGGACGTTTCAACTCGTACAGATTATTCTTTGACAATGGAACCCTTCCGAAGCGGCTTAATACTTACAGTTGTGTGTTCTGGACACCTAGGCATCAGGGTTACGATCGAAATAAACTCCCACGCTTCTCTTTTAAGAGCAGTCCTAAGACAGTATTCTTTGACACTTCTCACAGATATGTATTCCTTGCCCCTTGTAACGCAGAACAGATGTTCGATTATTTATCAGATGAGCTTATCACCTTCCAGTTTATTCTGTTTTGATACGTGACCGTGAAATATATTATTATTATTAATGGCTTTATTCAATATTATATTTTGGTACGAAGTAGAAATCTGTCGAAGGCCAGAAACATTCACATTCTACTGTTGTTCGACCGAATATTAAGTCCCTAGTTATTGTTCAGGTTCAGATTTGTGTAGTAAGGACAGAGGGCCTAAGGCCTATGTTATTCCTTTTCTCTTATGCCACTGTGAGTGTATAGTCTTCTCTTGAATGAGTCAATTGAAGGTGTGGACACCAGTGCTTCGGGTAACAGGTTCCAAAAACTGATGGCTCGATGTGAAAACTTGTATGCCACGTGTATTTTGTTCATTCTTGGCCTTTCTACTCGCCTGCTATGTCCTCTGAGATGTCCCGATCTAGTGGGAAGCAAAAGATAGAATGCGTTAGGTCCAAAATCATTTCTTAGTATTATATACATCAAAATTAGATATCCCCTTAACCTGCGATAGGACGGAGTAAAGGGGTCTAGCTTTTCAAGCCGCTCTTTGTATGGTAAACCCCGGAGTTCTGGAATTGTACGAGTAGCTGCTCCCTATACTTTTTCCAGGATACCCGAGTCACCTTTTAAATAGGGGCTTGCAGCATGAACGCAGTTCTCAAGCTTAATTCTCACTAAGGTTTTGTATACTGTAGTGAACACGGTAGTATTTAACTTAGTGAATGTCCGTCTTAAAGCCCAAGGAGTTCTAAACCCCTTAGCTGCGACCTCCGTGCAACGAGCCGTGGTCTTGAGATCATGACTCACTATCACCTCAAGATCCTTATGAGACTGGACTATGGGTACAGGCACTTCCTCTATTCTGTACCTATCAACCTTTGTATCCCCAAATCGGATGTAGACACACTTTGCCGCGTTGATAGGCATCAGCCTCTCTTTAGACCAGTTAGTCACATTATTTAAGTATGCCTGAAGTGCGCATGCATCTGCGTCTCCCGTTATTACTCGTCAGATTTTTATATCGTCAGCTTATAATAACATTTGGGACTGTACTATACTTGGGAGATCAATTATATTCAGTATTAAAAGTAAAGGACCTAGGACAGAACCTTGAGGTACTCCACTAAGTACGGGTCTTCAGGTGGAGCACTTGGAGTTTACTCTTACTTTCTGTATACGACCTACTAGGAAATCTTTAGGCCGTTTTAAAAGAGGTCCGGCAATACCAAGATATTCTAACTTTAATAGCGGTCTATTTGTTGGCACGTTGTTAAATGCCTTACTAAAGTCTATGTAGACAACATCCACTGGTTTTCCATTGTCTAGTGCCTTTATCCATTGCTCCCTTGCTATAATGAGATTTGTTGTGCAAGATAACCCTTTTTGAAACCATGTTATGTGCTGTTTAACAAGTTGGGTTCCACAAATGTCATTATGTTCTTTTTGACTATTCTTTCCCGTATCTTAACTACGACATTGGTGAGGCTGACAGGTCTGTAGTTCGATGGACGTTGTCCTGTTTTGTGTATTGGTGTGACGATTGCATCCTTTCAGTCCACAGGTAACACACCGTGGCCAATCGACATACTGAATATCACAGTTAGTGGGGCTACGATATATTGTTCAGTTTGTTTCAGGATTTTGGGGTATAGTTCATCTGGTCCTTTTGACTTGTCCATGTCCAAGGTACTAAGAGTTTTAAGTACATCGTCCACGGTGAGCAGACGGTTTTTGACTTTGTATTTGGGTCTGGTCCTTTGTCTAGAAGAAGTTACTGAGTGAAAACTGCCTCAAAATAGTTAGCCATAGCCTCCGCGTTTTCCCGATCATCCTCCATTATTTCAGATTCACTCCCTTCTTTAATCAGACTGGGAATCCAATGGTGCATCCTTGTTCTGTAATTTATGTACGAGAATAATCTCTTAGGCTACTTGATTGCAGATTATGCTAAATGCATTTCATATTTTCTCTTGGCTTCCGGAATTTCAATTATACACTTATTTCGTATCGACCTGTAGAGTTCCATCGTATTTGCAGCGTTCAAGGCTGATGACAACGCTCCAACATTTCCTCTTTTATCTTATTAAACGTCGAATATCCCGGCCTATCCAGGGATGGCCGTGCTTCTTTTTCTTCTTTGGGACTATCCAGGGTGTGTATGGTTGAGTTACCCGGTTGTATGTCTGCCTTTTCTACTGATGCCCCCCTTGTAAAGCATCCAAGTGTCAGCCGACACTGCAGAGTTTATGCCCTCTATGTTCTCACTGGTAATCACATGAGCACCACTCACTGTTAATTATCTTGTTGAAACCTATTTAACAAAAGTCATCTTGCCGCACCACATCATCTAATGTTGCGACATATAAGCTTAGTTGATCCCTACAACTTATAATCACTATATCTCAATTAAATCGTTTCCCGTCTTATACTAAACTGCATACTTGCAGCTGACTTGTATGCACCATCAGCCGGTAGGTATATATATAAATAAATAGTCTATGGCAAATCAAGACATTGAGTCTCGAGCATGTATTTTACGAATACACTGATGTTTAACTAATTGCTGTTAGCTACTCGTCCGAATTTCACATACTTGTCACTATTCATATACTAAAACACTTTTTGATAACCATTCATATGTATTGGTAGTATTACTGAATTCTATCACGGTCAGGTAAAAATGAGGTCGAGAAAATCTCCTCGTAACTGAATAAACCGTATCATTTTATTACTGTGCACTTTTATATCCTAGATGGTTTTGAGTATCCATGGTCATTGGCGTGGTAGCTCAACTTCCGAACTGATAGTTGTTTGCTGCTAGTGTTCATGAGTTTATGACTTTCAGGTTGTGTTATCGACCTACTATGTTGTAGCAGTTCGGTCGTAAAGATGGTGAAGGGCATACCTACTTTTAAAAATGATCGCAATTTTCTCTTTCTGAGGTCGAAATCCAGAGTGAAATGATTTTGTTCACAACTTTGCTGAGGCTGTTGATGTTTTAAGCGCAAAGTGGAATTCAACTGTTTGTTTTCAAAAGTTGCACTTAAAATGGAGCCAAGGTCTAGGACTTTTTTCCAGACTAAAACTAGGCTTCAGCTTACTTGTCAGTCTCATAAATTAAGCGAAATCCGGATTCGTTTATACCGGTGAAAGGGGTCACTGGTCATTTGCCACTTTATTTCCTTGATAACCAACCTCAAGAAACGGTCTAATTTGACCACCGAGGTTCTTTTCCTGCTGTCATGTTGACCTTGCTTTTTTTACACAGAGGTCGATGTAGTCTGTTTTGATATTCATTCTGGGAAGGTCTTTGTTATGTGCTTGGGACAATTAACTGTTTGTGTAGATTTTTTTTCGGCTCAATTCACTTATCTGTCCTAATTTTAGTGAGGATTGACATTTTCCCTCGTTTATACCGTCTTTAATTTTGGAAAAGTTTCTTCATATCAATCTCATTTTGGAGAGCGAATATTTATTTATTATAAAATATGTATAGTTATCTGATAAAAGTTATATCTCTTGTAATCTTTCGTTAGGCTAGCCATGTATTTCTTCAGTCAAAGCTACATTACCTAGCAAGAAATTATTTAGCAGTTGGTATAAAGTTTATTGGCTAGTAAAGGATTTTTTTAATGGTCTCTTAATATCATTAATGTAATGCTTTGTGTCAGATTTAATCATTGTATATGTAATCTGGTTCACAACCCCACAAGGTAATAAGGAGTTAATGCAGCCCAGTTTTATTTTGCATGGGGTCATGTGTTTAAACTGGCGAGTCAAAGACCCAGCAAGATCTCTTCATATTTGTTTAAATTCTGTGATTAGTGCAGATTACCTTGGTTTTATACCAGATCTTATTAAGTGGATTTCCTACTTCTTATTCAGAGTTTAGTAATTCAAACACCATAATGGTTGTCGAATCAGACGACTCTGGTTTTCGCCAACTGGAATACTTCTCTTTAGTTTCAAAAGTTTGCACAGAATTAACAAATCATTTGGGTTTAGATGACAAAGTCCTGGGTAAGTTGATTGTTTGGATTTTTTGATCATATCAACTCTTTCACAGCTGAATTTGTTATTCACTTGGCTAAGAAAAATCCGACTTTTGAAAAATTCAAAAGTGCTTTGGAAAAGAAAGGCGCAGAGTTTACGGTAAGGGCATTTATTAGATTACCTTTGATATTTGTTTTCTTGTCCACAGGACCCATTAATAGCCAGTATTTTACGCCTAGTTGAGAAAATGCTTCCAAAGAAGGAGAAAGTTACTAAAAAGAAGGCATTAACATCTTCATCTAACAAGAAAGATTCTGAGTTAGATGTTGTCAAAAACAAACTAGAATTGAGAAAGCGACTTTTACCTGCTTTGTGTATGCCAAATGAAGATCCAAACGACGAGGTATTCTGTTTTCTCACTGTCATTAATGTCTTGTTTATTTTCCATCCAGCGATTGAATGTGGAATCTGAAAATGTAGAACCGTGCAGTGATACTGATAAAAAGGATGGGATTCGTAACAAATTCGTTCATCCTGATGAACTTGAAGAGGAATTCCATAGTGATAATATCAATAATAAAAAAGATTGTGTAGATGACGTCGAAGCTTTGGCTATGATTAAAGACTTGGAATTATTGTTATCCGGTGCTAAGGAGTAAATTTTCATGTTTATAAAAATATTTTCTTAGAGCATCATTATCTAAGTCAAAGCCACGTGACGAAAAGAAAAGTGAAGATAGACGGTTAGTAGTTTCCTTATTTGCTTGTTTTAATCTAGTTGCATGTTATATTTTCCCATTGATATTTGACATTTTCGTGGACAGTGACTTCAACATATGAATCAGTCAGTCAGTCAGCTACAACGTATGTCCAGGCACATATATGCATCGGTCCAAGTTGCCGCACCTCATTAGTACAGCACGATGAGCACCAAATTCATAGTAGTTACATAAATAGTAGTAATATATAAAAGAAATATTGTGTATAAATATATAATACAGAAAGAAGTATTTTAATCTCACCGTTTAAAGGCAGACAATTATATACACCTACGTGATTGTAATCGATTCTGAGTTGTGTCGTTCAGAGTCTACAACCATTGGTTACGATGATCACGCGGACCCCAACCAAGTAGTCTGCATCTATCAACATGGCTCAGATAAGAAGTTAGTGACTTCAAGCACTGATGCCACGTTTTTGGTTTGGCCGTCCCTAACTTTCTCCCAACCATCTCTAACACCCGTTAGCATTGCACGACGTGGTAATCGGTGTTCAGGCATACGTAACACGTGGCCCAACCATCTCAGTCGATGAAGATTCACAACCTCATCGACTGATTTACCATCCTTCCCTAATACCTTGCGTCTAACCTCACTATTACTTACCCGGTGATCCCAGCAGACGCCAGCAATATTTCTAAGGCATCTGTGGTCAAATACTAGTAGCTTACGAGTGTCTTCTACTCTTAATGGTCATGTTTCGCTGCCGTAAATTAAAACAGAACGGACTGCCGCGCAGTATACTCGTCCTTTTATTGATAGACGGATATCTCGCCTTCGCCAAAGGTGACGTAAGTTGGCAAAAGCCAAACGAGCTTTTCGAATCCGTGCTGAGATTTCGTCCGATACCAGCCCATTGTGGCTGATCAGACTTCCAAGATAAGTGAAGTTGTCGACGCGTTCGACTACTTCACTCCCTATCCTTAGTTCAGGTGTTGAGGCAGACCAGTCCTGAAGCAACAACTTGCATTTCGAGGGAGAGAAGCACATTCCAAACATTCTGGCATTGTTGCTTAGTGCTACCAGAAGACTCTGCATTTTGTCAGCATCTTCTCCGATCAGGACTATATCATCTGCATATTCTAAGTAGATTAGTGGACCTCCTGGAAGGAGATCAATACCCGAGAATTCAGTCGACGAGAATGTCATTTCCATCAATGGGTCTATGATGAAGTTAAACAAAAATGGAGAAAGTGGACAGCCTTGACGCACACCACTTGAGGTTGCAAAAGTAGGTGACAGTTCTCCATAAGCTCTGACTCGACTAGTAGTGTTCGAGTAAAGAGCCTTCACAAGGTTTATGTACTTCTGGGGTTCGCCTTTCAATAACAGACCCTGCCACAGAATCTCGCGGTCTACCGAGTCAAATGCCGCTTTTAAGTCAAGAAAGACCACCATTGTCGGACGTCGATAAGTATGCCTGTGTTCTAGAACCTGACGAATGGTGAATATGTGGTTGATGCAGTCACGACCAGGTCTGAAGCCAGCTTGATTCTCTCGTGTTTGCAGTTCATGAGTCTTAGTTAAGCGTTTGATAATTATCGAGGCTAGTATTTTAGATATTATATTAGTTAAACTAATCCCTCTGTGGTTGTCACAGGATGATTTTGACCCTTTCTTATATATTGGGACGATAAGTGATTGTGACCAGTCAGATGGAATAACGTCTAACTCCCATATTTTAGCTAAAATATTAGTCAACCTAATCGCTAAAATTGAACCACCATCCTTAAAGACCTCTGGAGCCAATCCGGCTGGACCAGCTGCCCTTCCTCGTTTCAGATTAACTATTGCCTTTTGAACTTCTACTAGAGTTGAAGGACCTACTTCAATGTTCCATTCACACTGTCTGGGAATGGAGGGTAGTTGTAGAGTCGCTAAAGGCCAGCTGAACTGTTCCCTAAAATGTTCCGCCCTTCGTTCTAAACGTCTGGACTGGGAGCAGATGAGAGTATCTTCTTTTTCCGAAATACTCTCACTTACACTTACACGTGATCCAACCATCTTAGTCGATGAAGATTTACAACCTCATCAATTGATTTACTATCATTCCGTAGTACCCTGCGTCTAACCTCACCATTACTTACCCGGTGATCCCAGCAGATGCGAGCAATATTTCTAACACATCTGTGATCAAATACTAGCAACTTACGAGTCAACATATGCACTGCTTCAACTAAGTAGCATAATTATTCCTATAATGTCTTCTATTAAATCTGATTTAGATATTTGTTCCATACTCTAGAGAGCTGATTTTAGTACATGGTGCTAAGTAGTTGAATAATTTATATACATTGGGGTTGAGTTCTAAATGTAAAGAATTCAATTATTTCTTTAGATCCGATATTTGTGTCCTAATTTGAGTTCATTTGATATTCTTAATAACGATTAAAATTTAAGTTATTGTGAGATTGTAAGATTATATTTAGAACTATGGTATGATATATACCCCGTACTGCATTGCTTTGTCTTTCGATCTTACGTGGCAACAAGTTGTTTCTATTCCTCCGTGAAATAGTTACATTGTACTCAATTTTATATAAATACTTGATGTTTTTTCCCTCTAGCAGTTCAAGCTCGAAGTGCAGGGACAAAGTATATATTTATCACTGTTTATCGAATTCCGGGACTATTCTTTCGTAGTTTTCATGATGGAGATTTGTTGTCTTTAATATAAGTGAAATTTTACTTGGAGCCTTCTCTGTGGAATTTCATCGTTTATACTTAATTTTCTATCGGCTGTTTGATGTTATACCTTTCGAGTTTGCTTGTCTTGGTCAAAACATTTTTTGCGGAATGGGTTGTTACAGAATTTTCGGGACTTATACATTAATAAATGTTCTGGTTCACTCAACATATCTTTTTTATATCAGAAGGGTTTTGTGGATATTATAGTAATTACAATGGTTGAGATCATGAGTGAATTGAATCTAGACCACCACAAAAAACCTGGAAGCAGTGAACGGCCGTTTCGTCCTATTGCGGGACTCCTCAGCAGTGTGCATCCACGACATCGCCTTGCGAGATTCCAATCCAGGACCTATTAGTCTCGCGCTCGAGCGCTTAACCACTAGTCCGCTGAGTCGACATTCAACGGTGTTAATGTCCAACTCCAACCAATCCACGAAATTGAGCGACACATCCACCAATGTCTTCAGTGAGTTACTATCTCACAACAGACCCGGTTGAACTCCACTGGCCACTGCTTCTCACTAGAACTCCAGGAAATACCTCTTGAAGCCAGTCACTAGTGAGTATATGTTGATTCATGTCAGAAGGGTTTTATGGATATTATAGTAATTTCAATAGTTGAGATCATGAGGTCGTGGATGCGCACTGCTGAGGAGTCCCACAATAGGACGAAACGGCCGTCCACTGCTTCCAGGTTTTCAATGGTAGTCTAGCTTCAATTGACTCATGATCTCAACCATATCTTTTTTTACCAAACTTTTTAATTTTCGTTGATGAAAGATGGAGTTTGACTCACAAACCAGTATGTGATATTACCATATGTTCGAGCGTTTCACTATCGAATGCATATCATATTTAGAAATTAATACTCTCAAGTTTAAGACTGTCATATACCCTATATATTCCTATCCGTAATGTTACAGTTAGCAAACCTGATTCTGAATGATTAGAGATGATTGATGTAAACCCTTGGTTAATCTGGTTGTATTTACTTTCGATCGGTAATAATGGGATTTTACAATTTTAGCAAAGCTAGTGTTCGCCTATATGAATTCGAACATGCCTCTATGTTGACTCTAACTAACTAATGAATTTACATCATTCAGATCCACGATCGAAGACTTTAACTCTGCAGTGCTGAGTGTTGGTCGTACAATATATTCTTTAAGCTGAAAACAGTTTAATTGTTCATAGCATAGAGCTACTACCTCATGTTGTCGATCATTTCAGTGTGTCTGCTTGACTCGGATTTTTCAGTACCATCAAACTCGATTTATTATATTTAAACATATTGACGTTGGTACAAGGAGGCACCAAATATATATGCGCCACACAAATCAAATGGTTTGTGTTGGGTCTGGGGTACTGCCCGGCAGCCCAAATCGAAGCAGGTGGTTCCCTTAGGTGGTTACTCCTCGAGCCCCCGACCTACAGGTCTAATCCACAAGGCAGTGGGGCAACGTAGGGAGATGCAGTCTCATGGTAACCGGCAAACGACACCAGGTTCATACTCCTTTTGTTCCTTCAGGATCCTGGAGCCCATGTGCATCATTGGTTTGGGATGAGAGTTTTTCAGCTCCTCTAATTGGGTCCTCCTTTGTCATCAATCCGGTCAAAACGCCAGACATTCGCTTTTTGTCTTCTCAATTTCGTAAACATCCCCTCTTCAAGAAGGCAGTGAATAGGACTTCCTTGGAAGTGGCTGTATACTCGTGGCCATGTGAGAGCATTTCGAGAGGGGGAGTTGACTATCGCCACTCTCGGCCGTACCATGACAGTTGGGGGCTTTATCAAACTCTGGAGTGGAACCTAGAATGTAGTCACTGACTAGTATTAAGAGATTTGTTGCACTAAATTATTTTGACAGGCTTTTCCTTGCTTTTGAAGAAAAGTACTTGCTGCCAGGATAATTAGTATTTGGGAGGGTATTTTGCATACTGATTTTTCTGATATTTATTTCCGAGGGAAATTCTTTTTAGAGGCCACTGAAGTTGGTAACTAGTTCTGTTCAATTTTCGTTGATGCGATCAAAAATTTGTTCAAACTTTCATTTCCTGTTTCATAGCTATACTTTACATATAAATCTTTTAATCATTTACTGTATATAAAAAAAGTTCAATTCTTAACTTGTACTTCTCTTTATAATAATAGTGCTCGTCGTTCACATTCTAAATCTCCTCATCGTTCACGACATTCAAATCGAAGAGCTCATCAAAGAAATCCTGATGCATCTAGTGATTATCGTGGTCATCGTAAAAAGTCCAGGTGGGTTAGTTATTTTTCTGGTATTTATTTTCATAGTCTTAATATTTTTTTTATGTATTTGATTTCCGAGGAGCTTTAAAGCTGATCTTATCAGTCTTATGTATTTTCCTGTTTAATAAGATTTCGGTTTATTATTACTATTGTTATTTTTCATCATCCACTAAATATTACGTATTATGATATCAGATTATTAGACAGGTTTTTCAGTAAACGTTATTCCCATTTTCTTACACTATAATCAGAATATGGTAACTACTGGTTGAATTGTTTTCACCATAATTTTCAATTATAAATATTTGATTGCACTGCTGTGAAAAATTCTGTCATTTAAGCAACTGCATACTGTGGATATTTGAGGTGTTTAGCTTACACATTGTCTCCACTTTTCTAAAGTTTTTAACTGACAGTGAAACTCGTTCACTGTCGTAAACTTTTGCACTCATTTTTCGGGTATTTGATGTGTGAGTTTAACTATTACTATTAGTTTCTAGAAAATACCAATTATGAAGACATCTATATAAAGTAGGCAATCAAGACATTTCGATGCAATTTCGCAGGATCAGCTGACTAGTTCCAGTCTTATTATTGTCATTCTTAGGATTTACATTTCTCATCTGGTTTCTCTGTTTTACCAACTACTGACTCAAATGTAAAGTGAGTTACGTCTTATCGATAAACTATGAACCTTTGTTACGTGTTCGCCAAATTGATGAGGTCCTAAATTCTTTACTCTTAATCTTACTTCAAGAATAGTAAGACTTTAGATTCTAACAATCTGATTTCTGCAAAGAGATCCTCAACTATTCTGTTTAAACCGTCTTTTCATAAAATCAATATGACTTCTTCTTGAATCAGGAGTAAATAAAATCAAAAACATCTTATCCGTCACTTATTCTGTATATTTCTTTGCTTCAACGTGATTTCTATTTATTGTAAAACCCACTTGAATTTTTTTGGAAGTGGAAGTATTATCACTTACATTTTAATTTATAAATACTAGATCACCTCATGGGAAAGAATCCAGATCGCCGTCGCCCCACTCATCCAGACATCGATCTAAGGATCAATCTCCAGCTAACAAATCGTCTTATCATAGAGACCGATCACGAGCTGATCATATTTCACCTAAAAGGTATTCTCATGGTTCAAGTAGTCCAAATTACGAAAGTAAACGACTAAAAGATCTTCCTTCAGAACCTATTGTGGGCGATATCTATCGTGGTAGAGTTACAAATGTGCTAGCATTTGGAGCTGTTGTTCAGTTAGATGGACTTCGTAAGAGATGGGAAGGTCTGGTGCATATTTCTCAGCTACGTCAAGAAGGTCGTGTAGCCAGTGTTGGCGATGTTGTTAATCGTAATCAAAAGGTAACTTATACATTTTCGACTTAACAGTTAGTGCTCGTTTGACTCTGCTTATAAACTATGGTATTAATAATAATAATGATGACAAAATCGACAATATTATTAATTTCGAGATATTCTTAACCATGAACTGAGATTTATTCTGAAATCATGAGGAGATAAAGAACAGTGGAATTCCGCATAGTATACTGTTAGAACGCCATACATAATCTAATCCAAGATCTTTTGTTTAATTTTAATAGCCATGGCAGTATAAAGGCCTGCTAAAAAATACACTTAGTTGTGATGTCCTGTTACCATTGGAAGACTTTTTGACTGTACCACGTGTTGGTAATTATTTTTTTCAGACAGTAACTTTCACACTGCTCAAGTTGATTCAACCTTCTAGCAATCATTTTGAGGGATAATATCCAAATCTGTGACTAATGTGTTTATATACCAAACTATGAACCACATTTACTGTTTACGAATTGTCGATAGTGTTTCGTTAAAGAGTTATTTAACTAGCTAACCTTGCAGTTAAAAGTCAAATCCTTGGACCACTGGGTCACAGTCTTCCCAAATTATTTAATACTAAACCCAGTACTAATTAAAGGCTTACCTTACAGGCTGTTTCAACGTTTTCTGTCATAACACTTGGTCAAAGACCATCTTGCTGATTTGTTATGTCTTTTGCATGTATATTAGCCTTCTCACCTGACGACATGCTTTACGTTCACTGAGTGTTGTATGTCCAATATTGTCCTCATTGTCCTTATTGCAAAAAGAACATGGATTCATTCTGTATTCTAACCAAAAATCTTCTCTTTCTTGAAGGTCTGGGTAAAAGTTATCTCGTTCACAGGTACTCGAACTGGTCTTAGTATGCGTGAGGTGGACCAAGAGACGGGTGCTGATTTGAATCCTTCACGCTTACCTGAGAAGAAATCAAATAATTCTAGTGAATCGTTAGATAAAGATAAAATACGTCTCGTAGATGAAGAGGATATCGATGGTGTTCGGAATCCTGATCGTCCTGCAGCTAACTCTGGACCAGGATTTTTCGGTAGACGCAAAGAAATGGGATTTGAGGAAGACATTGAATCTGGTCCCAAACGGTATGCTTGATATTTCTTTCTATTAATGAATGTTGCTTTTGTTATTGTTAATAAGGTTATCAGTTTTAGTTTGGAATGAACCACTTGTACAGTGTACTTACTATTTTTTATTCTCAGTAACTATAATAATATGGTGATAATGTGTACATTTATATATTTTTAGAAAGGTTCAACGAATTAGTAGTCCAGAACGCTGGGAATTAAAACAAATGATGTCAGCTGGTGTAATTGAAAAGACAGAATTACCTGATTTCGATGAAGAGACTGGACTTTTACCACGTGAAGATGAAGAATCTGACGAAGATATTGAAATCGAACTTGTTGAAGATGAACCACCATTTCTTAAGGTTTGTCTACAAACCAATAAACTCTTTTTTTGACGATTATAATAACTGATTGAAGTATAATCAACAGTTGTTGTTTTTCAGTTTGTCAAATTTATTTTTCAACAGAAAGCAATATAATCTTTTTTATTTAAATGAAATTTAACTGGATACGATGTGAGAATAAAAGGTGAATAATTGTTGGGTAGAAAAATGTATAGAATTTGCAATATGATTTTATCCATATCAGCTGGCATCAAAAATTATTTATTTTTCCCATCTGAAGGACAGAAACTAGGTGGCTTACAGTCCCTCTTACACACTGCTTTAGATTATCAACAATTTACTTTATAGTCTTGATTTCTTTTCGTAATTTGGTCACTGGTATAACTTAGTCACCTAGTACAGATTTGTGTCTTTCTTCAAGTCACATTTTATATGTAAAGGTAAGTAATACTATATGGTTACCCAAACCTAAATAGATGGAGTAGAGTTCGAATCTTCAGCCCGGTTGCTAATCCCCATAAAATTCTTGAGGATCCTTAATAAATATGATATAAATATATGATACCAATGTTTTCAAGGATCAGATGAAAATGACGTTCACTACTCTCCGATCCTCTATGGATATAAACACTTGATCAGAGTTATTCTCAAATAGCTTACTTTTATAGTAAAATAAGATATTCTGTTTTTACAACGGGCATATTATTACCATTAGTATTGTTACAGGTCGACATAGATATATGTAATTATTTGATTCATATCTAAGTAGTTTTTATATTTCAGTTTAATATTATGTTTATTAATTTTATATTAATCATACTTTCCAGGGTCATGGTCGACATGCGATGGATTTGTCTCCAGTTAGAATAGTCAAGAATCCAGACGGATCATTGCAACAAGCTGCCATGATGAGACAAGCTCTACAAAAGGAAAGACGTGAAATGAAACAACAAGAAAGACAAAACCAAGTAACAGCTGAACGAGAGACTGCTCCTGAACGGATGGGTAAAGATTGGCATGATCCAATGGGGTTTACTTGTAAGTAATTTCTTTTTAGGATGCAATTATTTCTTTACTGAATTTTATGTAGCTCAGTGTTGGTTACAATGCAGCAGATGGCTTTAATCCTTGTCTACCATTAGATCTTTAGTTTTGGACTTATTATGATTTTTTAGATCGACTCTAAAAAAAGCCCACACGACTTTGTCAGGACAGGGAAACAATAAGATCTAGCTAAATTAAAGATCCCCATTCTAGGCTGTTGGACAATGAGGTAGAAATTTATCTACTTCCGAGTTTGATTCTTTCAGTTACTATTTTCGAATAATTTTATCGGACAATTTATTATCTTTGGGGTTTAAGTTGTTTAAAGATATATCATAGGAGTTAATTGTTTATTAAATAAAAAATATTCGCGGTCACAATTCAGGTGTTATTTCTTGATATTACTACTGCTCAGTGAGGCAAAAGGTACTCGAAGAAGCAGTCGTTTTTGTTGCTGGTTTGCGTTTCATCAGTGCATGACATGCTTATTATAAAATCATTTCACTCGGTCATATAAATTTTATAATTATAATTCTTCAATTTCATCGGAGTATAAATTATAATCAATTACATTTGACGAATTCTGATTTTACTGCATTCATATTAATACTTGTTATTAGTCAAATGTAAACATTTTGATAACATACTTGCGACATCTTTTTGTATCACATTATTCTATGTATCTGATATATTTCAGTGGACAATGAACCACAGTTTTCAGGTTCACGTTCAACTGACCAGTTTAAAGATGTACCGGAATGGAAACGTGCTGTTCAAGGGGGTACAAGAACTGGAGCTGTTGGTAAAAAGATTGTACGATCTATTCTTGAACAGCGTCAAGCCTTACCCATATTCAGACTAAAAGATGAGCTAATGAAGGTTAGTTTCCGAAATTTCAATACCATTATGCCGATCGAATTAAACAGGTACTCAATCTTATTTGTTAGCTGTTAAGTGCCAAGTGTTGTGTAAATAAATTGTTCTAAGTGCCTTCAATGCTTGACAAGATATGACAAGTGAATGTAATTTTATTCAGAAAAGACCAAATAAATATGTAAGAGTGTAGGGAATTCGTAAAGATAGAATTTTATAGTTCACATTCGCAAACCCCTCATATAATACTGATAATTATTTGCTTATTAGTGGCTAATTTTGAGCAATTTCAGGAGCTTCAATGAGGAACTGTAACCAGTGGAGTTCACCCACCAATGACACTGGAATGTGGTTGTTGAATATTACGAACTGATTGAAGCTAGAAAAGTAACGAATTAGACGCCGACTCAATAGTCTAAAGGTTAGGCACTCAACCTGAAACGTAAAAGCCCTGGATTCCATCCCTGATAGGGATCATGGATATGCACTGCTGAGGATTCCCATGCTAGGACGAAACAGCTACCCAGTGCTTCACGGTTTACGGTGACTATCTAACTAAGGTCAGCCCGTGATTTAAAATATAGAATACGTAATACTGAACCAGAAAATTTATGGGTGTCAGTGTAATTGGTGGAGATGAAATTATTTGAACCTTATAACAAGGCATTCACAAAGCCATAAAAATTTGATGTTGATCTCAGAACTGTTCTCTGAATGCTTATTATAAGTTTTATTATTATTTTCTTTCTATAAAAATAAATAAATTTGTAATTGATACAAAATTAGTCTTTTTCCGTTTGCGTATTTTTACAAACACATGCAATTACAAATTCAGCAGACTTTAATGCATATTTGGTTATGACTGTCGGAATGAATTCTCAAATTCATATTCACGTCATATGCTAAATTATAGTGGCATAAAATGAACTTCATTTTCATTCTTACGTATTTTTAATTGTAACTCATCTCATTCAAGCGAATGGTTAATGAATAATATAGAGGTAATCACTATTTTTCGTAACTTACTTAGGGAATACATTGTTTTTCCATAAGTTTTAGTTAGGAAACTGTAGTTTGTTCAGTCTTTCAGATGGACAAAAAAATGCATAAAAACATTGTTTGATTATAGGTAGAACTTTCCAGTTTTTCGGCTTTTGACTGAGCCAATAGCTGAAGTAATGTGCGTATTGTATACTACCTATGCAGCTTTATTAATCTTATTGAGTAATTTGTTTTCTACGTTCGGGATAAAATGGGGACTAGTCAGCTGTTCAATACCTCGAGTTTAAGTATTTTTCCTCTAGTACCATTAATTATGACTTATTAAACAACTGTGAGGCGATAATATTACATTTTTATTGAATAATTAGTACTGAACTTATTCATGAAATTTTGTCCCGAAATTGCTTCCTTAATTTTAATGTTACATATTCATATCGTTTGCACGCAATCAATAATGTGATGTTTTTCTTTTAATAAATACAGGCAGTGAATGATAATAAAGTATTGATTGTTATTGGAGAAACTGGTAGTGGGAAGACTACCCAAATAACACAATATCTAGCTGAAGCAGGTTATGTCAACACTGGTCGCATTGGATGCACTCAACCACGTCGAGTAGCAGCTATGTCTGTAGCTAAACGAGTACGTTTTCCAGTTTCTTGTTCATTTAGTATGATTTACTTTAAGTTTTTTTGCAAGTTCGAACCATACTGTACCTAGCCCAACACAGACAGATGGTAATACTACTAGAGCTTAAACATAAAGAAGTGTGCTTAAAAACCTATTACATGAACTTATATTTGGTTAGCGAGTTGTATTTATGTTATTCAATACAGATTTATTTGCTATAAATGTTGATGTATAACATATTGAGTTATATGGTCTGGGTAGAATTGAATGTTTAGATTTAGTAAGAATCTTTATCCTAGTAGTAAAGAATTGAGCTCTTAGACATCAGCTCATAAGGAACATTACATTCATTTAAACACTAATAATATCCCAATATTACTGACTAAAATTGGATTATAAAACAAACATTGTGGAAGTTCGATACAAGATGTTCAGCATATAATTTTAGTCTAGTTGTAAACTTTTGTTAACTAAACTTATTATGATTTTTTCTTGTATCTTTAATTACCGTTTACGTCAATGTCCAATGTTGTTGATTTCATAGTCGGTTTTAAAAGTTGTTTTTGGTATTTGGAAGGAAAAATAGCGTAGAAACGAAATCTTTTGTTTGGTAAACTAAGTTTTTTTGAAATTTTTAAGCGAATTCAAATCATTAACTTGAAATGTTGGTCAACGGTACCTTCACTATCGATTTTTCTTCATAATATAAAAATATCATTTCCGATTATTCATTTCCGTCTTTCTAAAGTTTCCGTTTTTATCGTTGATATTTGTTTACAACATGATGTTACTACGTTGTAGGTGCTCGAATCGGATGACACATCTCTGTTTTATGTTACTTTACTTTCCTCTACCCTGCTCTGCTCTATTCTATAGTTACATGAAACAAACTTTCATAGATGTTTTATTTTGCAAAAAAGGATTTATTGATTTAATTGTCTTTGTCCATCCGCCATATTTTACACAACATTCACTCTTTTCTATTTTTCTAGGTATCTGAAGAATTCGGTTGTCGTCTAGGGCAAGAAGTTGGTTATACAATACGTTTTGAAGATTGTACTGCACCAGAGACAAAAATCAAATACATGACAGATGGTATGCTGTTACGTGAATGCCTTATTGATCCGGATTTACGCCAATATTCAGTAATTATGTTGGATGAAGCACATGAACGAACAATACATACAGATGTATTATTTGGTTTATTGAAAAAAGCTATTCAAAAACGAGATGATATGAAGTTAATTGTCACTTCAGCTACTCTTGATTCAGTCAAATTTTCTCAGTACTTTTTTGAAGCTGTAAGTGTTAAGGCACTAAATTTATTTTGATTCAAATCATTTTTTCAAAACACTAATCTATGAGAATTTATGCATGGATAACTAATACGCGATTGAAAGTGATAACGTAACCTCATGTCATTTATATGGTGATTGATTGCCTTAACGCAGTTATTGTTACGTGTGCGTAACTCTAATACCTTCTTGAAGCAGTACAACATTCAGCGAAATAATAGCACTCACAAGTGCTGAATCGAACGACATTGAAAGCTAAATAAATGCAGTTAAGCAAATTGTGTTTTGTTCAGTGTTTACTTGATTATCACTTGCATTTGTTTGATTAAGTTTTGACCAATCAAACCACACTTTATCCTAGAATATTTTTAATTGAGTTTGTTTCTTTTGAGTATGATTTAGTTAGTTAGTTAGACACAAAAACATTGGTACAAAGGGGCACCAAAATATATATGCACCACGCAAAATTGTGTAACAGCTGGGATTCCGCCTGGTTGCCCAATCTGAATCAGGTGGTTTTCTAAGGAGGCTACTCCTCGAGCCTTTGACCTAGAGGTCTAATCCACAAGGCAGTGGGGAAACGTAAAGAGATGCAGACCCATGGTAGCCGGTGACCAACAATAGGTTCATACGTCATTTGTTTATTCAGGATCCTGGAGCCCATGTGCACCATTGGTTTGGAATGAGAGTTTTCCAGCTCCCTTAGGCGAGTCCTCCTTACCTACCAACCTGGTTTAAGCGCCAGACATTCACTTTTTGTCTTCTCAATCTCGTAAACAACATCCTCTCTTCAAGAAGGTAGTGAGTAAGATTTCCTTGGAGGTGGATATATACTCGTGACCATATTAGAGAATTTCGAGAGGGAGAACGAACTCTCCCCATTCCCTACAATACCAAGGCATTTGGGGGTATTCGATGTAATAACTTGCTACAATAACCAATATGTTAGAATGTAGGTTTGTGGAGATTGTATTAAATTTTCTTAATAGTTAAATTCATGGGTCGATCTATGCTAAACCACCATTGAAAACCTGGAAGCACAGAACGACCGTGTTGGATGGAGACAGGTATCCACCTCAGGATCATGGATCGATTGGAGTTAAACATTAACACTGTTAGATGCCGTTTCAGTGGTCTAGAGTTTAAGCGTCCGCGCTCGAGATCGGAGATCTTAGGTTCAGATCCCGCACGCGGGATCGTTGATGTGCACTACTGAAGAGTCCCACGCTAGGACGAAACAGTTGTCCAGCGCTTCCAGGTTTTCAATGGTGTTCTAGCTTAGGTTGACCCATGAATCTAACTATTAAAAAGATAACTTATTCAACAATACTAGGATATAAAACAGTGGGTCGTAAATTTTATCTTTAATGAAATCTGAACATGTAAATAAGCTTGAAAACGATACATGAATTTGATTATCTGATACTATCACATATACTTCTAATATCCATGAATTTATCAGGTAATGCATAGTTCTTAATGAAGAGAAGATGTACACTTTATGTGCGAATAGACTAAAAGTGTAGACATATTAATATATCCATATGTTTGAGACTCGGTTTCCAAAATTATTTATCACTTGAGAAAATTTTTTGATTTATTTATATTCAATTGATCTGTAAAATAATCTTAATGATGATAATGACATGGCCACGCGTATATAGCCTCTTCCGGGGAAGTCCTACTCACTGCCCTCTCGTGGCGGGGGTGTTGTTTACGAAAATGAGAGGACGAAAAGGGAGTGTCCGGCGCTTTAACCGGATTCCAAACCAATGGTGCACATGGGCTCTAGTATCCTGAAGGAACAAATGGCGTATGTACCAATCGTTGGTCACCGGCTACCATGGGACTGCATTTCCTCACGATGCTCCACTCCCTTGTGGATCAGACCTTCAGGTCGAAGGCTCGAGGAGTGGCCCCCTAAGAAAACCACGTGCTTCGGTTTGTGCACCCGGGCAGTATCACAGCCCTCACACATATCGAATGAGATTTGTGTGGCGCATATGTATTTGTGCCTCTTTGTACCAATATCTATGTGTTGAAATAAAATATAAATAAATAAACATATTAAGTTAGTTGTTAATTTAATGAACTTATTGTAAAACACAATACAATGCTTAAAATATCTTTGTGTGACTATGAATTCATGAAATATTTTGAACAGTAATAATTAGTTAATAAATAACTCATATCAAATGAATAATAATGTCTATACATGATAATTTATATTACAAGTGTAATACGACTAACACTCGAATGATAAATGCTTAAGGCGGTAATTAAGTGTTGTAATTCTGTGGTGTGCTACTTATATACACATAAGTAGTATATAACGCTAGTCAGGAATAGAATGTCTGGCATCAGAAGACCATGAAGATCGAGGGGGAAAGAAGGGGAACAGAAAGCATTTGGTATGTAAATGTAGGAACAATAAAGTCTGAGACGATTGAATGATATTTGCAAAAGGAACAGTCAAGTTTGAGACAGTTGAATGACATTTTGCAAGTGAAGTATTTTCTGTATGGTCCTCATATTTTACTAAAATGTTCTGTTAGTTTGTGTTCAAATACGTTCGATTGTCCCCAATCGTGTTCTCATTCACTATAACTCTACTACTTAGTATACCTTAGATTCAATTCTTCACTTCATTGGTCTCAAAATTAGAACATAAATTGGAAGTGAATGAAAACATCTTCCTAAAATTAAAGCAATAGAGGATAGTAATAGAAAAAATTATTAGCTCTTATATAAAATTTACAGAAGACTCTTAATGTCTTCTCAACCCATCCCTTCGCGTTGATTGGTTGGAAACAGATAAATCAACGTGCCCTGACTTGATCTTGATTCTAGTAACTAATAAAACCAAGATCCTCTATTCCGATAACATTGAGTAAAATAATTACTTAGTGTTAAATAGATGATTAGTTTATAGTAAGAAAACGATTCAATATAATAGATATTTGACTGTACCTTTTTGTCAACACGTCTAAATGTATAACAGGTGTTTTACTTTTATAGCACACCATTTTAAACAGTTCACTAACTAGACATAGGCTCATGTACAAAGATAACATTGTAAGCTGTTAGTTGTAGTTGGGTAAACTACATACTCACATACTCACTTATGAACTATATAATTATGTGCTAATTTATGTATTATGTCTCTTTGGGCTTGTAATACTTGACAGTTAGTAAGACAAGCGTATTTAAAGTAGTTTTAAACCATCAATTCACCACTTTCTTGCTAATATATAACAGTTCATTAAGGTTGTTTCCTGACAGAACCTTTCGTGAGTGTGATTAGACCAGTTGACAGTAATCCCAGTGTAAATGAACCCTATGAGACCTTTGTGTCCCTACCATTTTTTACTTTCTAGCATGTTTATACTTCGACTAGTGTTTCTTTTACAATGGTTAGTAGGTTATCTCTAAATCACTAGGTGTAAGCATTCATCATACGTATAAAATAAACTGAATTAATAGACGAACTTGGATTGTTAATTTTGTAAATATTTGCTTAAGTTGGCTAAAAATAATCATTGACTACACAAACCAAATACATTTTCATATACTCATCTCTGCATATTATATGAAGGATAGTAATAATATTAACTGGTTAGTTAAATTATAGTAAGTAGAAAGGTTCTAATTCGTAGCCTGACAGTTAAGATATAAATATTCTCAATATTTAAATTACTCTAGTTTTACACGTTGCTGAAGACTATTGATTAGCTCATTGACTATTATTATTTATTGCAAATGATCCTTTGTTTTCTTTCTCTATTAAAATATTTATTTAGCCTATATTCACTATACCTGGTCGTACATATCCTGTTGAAATATTGTATAGTTTAGAACCAGAAAATGATTATCTAGACGCTGCACTCAATACAGTTATGCAAATTCATTTAACTGAACCTCCAGGTATTTAATCTTTTTACTTTGTACACAGCAGTATGATACATACATGGATATACCCGTTTAATCCAGTTGAATCAATAGATTCATTGACACTTAATATTGCATGAAACTATTCAAACATTATTATTAAAACCTTAAATTATTTCTTTGTTTTACAGCCTATTGCTAACCGAAGTTTATTTTCATGAGGAATTTATGTTTTTTTCTTTGCTTGTATAATTGAAAACAGTTCGGACAGGCGTTTACTTTATGTACTGAATTCATACATTTAACACTACTCAGTTTAAAAAATGATCGTGAATTATTTGAATATGTTGTAGTATTTGTAGTAAAATTTCATTTTAGTATTTAGAACCCTGTTATTTATTAATTTGATTAGCTACAATTTTTATTTTGTAGCTACTAGTCAATTGCAAGTAGTTTGTTAATATTTTTAAAAATAATAATGGTAATGTCAGTTTTCGATTATCGGTAATACTTTTGAAGTTGATATACTGTTTATAGGCTGGAATACATGCTGATCAAATGTATAATTAGGTTTTTTAAAAGCCATTTAAACTTTGTACAACTTTTCAGAATTACGATAACAAATCTATCTATCGTAATCGATCAACAATCGAATATTAAGCATAAAATATAGAGTAGTAGTAGTCGCCTTGGTCTATGTGACTGAAAACATAGTTACTGTTTATAAACTGATTCTTATGATAGAAAAATGTCAAATTACTTTTTATCTAGTTCTAAGTTTCATTGTTACTATTCATACGGGTACCTTTCTATTGACTCTAGTTTCTGTTTAAGCATTGTTTTGAGTTGAAAATGAGATTTCCGGTCATAAGGAATCTGTTGAATATACAAATGCCCAAATGATCTCAGCACATCATTTTGTTCTAAATCTAACTTTTTATGTATAAACTCCCATGTGTGTTAGCTTATTGCAGTTAACTAATAATCAATGTTATAAACACATTGATGTCTTGCCTACTCTAATATTAGTATTATTACATATTGGTCAAGTCAGTAAACTATTGTTTATCTGTTTAAATATCGTCACTTGATTTGTTAGGAAACATATTACACCATTGAGGTAACTGCTCTTATGAATCCGGTGTTCGTCTTGCTGTGCTAATGAGGTATGGCAACTTGAACCGATGCATATATGTGCCTGGTCCTACGTTGTAACTGACTGACTTGATTTGTTAGAAAACATTTCAAGTGTTTATTCGAGTCAACGTCTTATTCCAACGTTGTCTCATCCTATTATGACTGTTGTCAGCATATTCACCAAAATTCCTTTAAGATAATAGTCTGACTTCGTGTAATGATGGTGATGATGTGTATCAGAAATCAGTTAAATTTAGAATCTCACTGAATAGTAACTTTCGTATGATAATACACCTATGAATCATAGTTCTTACTATTATTCAGTTATTGTTGTACATAATAATACATTTTTAATACTTTCTCACATATATTATGTCCTTTTTATGCTATTTAATTTAAATCTATAATTACCTTCATTTTTTAAGGAGATATATTAGTATTTTTAACTGGTCAAGAAGAAATCGACTCTGGTTGTGAACTTCTTTATGAACGTATGAAAGCTTTAGGCTCTGAAGTACCTGAATTAATCATTTTACCAGTTTATGCAGCTTTACCATCTGAAATGCAATCGAGAATCTTTGATCCTGCACCTCCAGGCTCCCGTAAAGTAGTGATTGCTACAAATATTGCTGAAACATCTTTAACAATTGATGGAATTTATTATGTTATTGATCCAGGTTTTGTAAAACAAAAAGTGTACAGTAGTAAATCTGGTATGGATCAACTTATTGTCACACCAATTTCACAGGTCAGTTTAAGTTATTACAATTTATAAATTTGTTTTTGATTGAGATCATAAATTGATCGATGTTAGACCACCATTGAAAATCTGGGAACACTGGACGGCTGTTTCGTCCTAGCATGGGACTCCTCAGCAGTGCGTACGTGCGACCTCGCACGTTGGATCCGAATTCAGGACCTTTGGTTTTGAGCGCGAACCTTTATCTCTAAACCACTGAGCCAGCATCCAACAGTGTTAATTCCTAACTTCAATCGGTCCATGACCTTATGAAATCATTCACCCATTATCTGAGTTAGATATGTGTCTCTACCTGGCACGAATTAGCTCCACTGGTCACGGCTTGTCACTAGGACTTCGAAAATCCCCTCATGGAGCTAGTCACTAGTTAGCATGTCGACCTATTCATGATCTCAGTCAAAAACTTAACAATCTCCACAACCCCAAACTGATAATAAATTTATATTTAAATATTTTTAGTTTTTCAAACTTTTTCTAGAAGTTCTATAAAATTACCTAGTGGATTGTTATAAGGTTTGTGTTCCTAACATGTTGACCAGGAGCATTTAGCACAACCAACAATCGATTCAGCTTACTGCACACATGTACATTCGTACTATTGCAGAAAAAATAGATCAACAAGGTGAATAGAGCTTTCGTAATTGAGCTGAAAACATTAACACTATAGAACATCCCGGTGTCTGTTTTTCGAAATACCATTATACTTAAAAGTTATGTTCGTAAGTAGTGTATGTAGGTTTCATTGACTTAATTTTTTGCGTATTATTTCCTCCTATTTTTCCCCATCTAATCATGATAATTTACTGTTTTTGATTTGATGGTAGTTGTGGCAAGTATTTTTGCTAGATTTATCTACTAATATTGGAAAATCTCACTGTTTAGATCAGTAGGTCCCTTTCTAGGCTTGAAACTAATCTAGTCAACGAATTCTGCTTTTAAATTAATATTTATATGTGTATGTGCTTCCATTGTTATTGGAATATGTATACTTCGTAAAACTGTAGAAAATCCACTCATAATTGATTAGAAATATTGATCTGTGGTTTCATTATTCTACCAGGCATAATAGAAGCCTGTGTACAAAGTTGGAATCTGTTGTTATATAATTCGTCTGTACTCTTGAATTATGTAAATCTAGAGTTTTTCACTTCTGTATTGAATGTTTTCTATAGTTACCACATACTGGTCAATATAATTCTGTTATTTTAATTGTGTTTTGTACTACTTAGAAATAAGTAGCTGAATGATGAGAACATGAACGTTGTTCATGGAAGAGGTCTGTCTTCAGAGATTTTATGTCGCTGAGAATAAAATCATCCAAAAGTGATCTCTTTGGTCAGTCAGTCACTCAGCTACAACGTAGGACCAGGCACATATATGCATCGGTCCATACCGCATTAGCAGATGAACACCGGATTCTTAGGAGTAGTTAAGTCAGTGGTGGTAATATATAAAAGAAAGATTGCATATAAGGATATAGTACAAGAAGAAAGAATTAGTATGTAGAAAGAAAGATATGAAGCGATTTTAATACCTTAGTTTAAGGGAAGACAGGGAGTGTATACACCAAAGCCATTGTGATCGATTCTGAGTAGTGTCATCCAGATTCTACAATCGTTGTTTCCAGCAGTAGGTCTATGATGAAGTTGAACGAAAATGGAGGAAGTGGAAAGCCTTGACGGACACCACTTGAGGTTGCAAAAGTAGATGACAGTTCTCCATAAGCTCTGACTCGACCAGTAGTGTTCGAGTAAAGAGCCTTCACAAGGTTTATGTACTTCTGGGGTTCGCCTTTCAATAACAGACCCTGCCACAGAATCTCGCGGTCTACTGAGTCAAATGCTGCTTTTAAGTCAAGAAAGACCACCATTGTCGGACGTCGATAAGTATGCCTGTGTTCTAGAACCTGACGAATGGTGAATATGTGGTCGATGCAGTCATGACCAGGTCTGAAGCCAGCTTGATTCTCTCGTGTTTGCAGTTCACGAGTCTTAGTTAAGCGTTTGATAATTATCGAGGCTAGTATTTTAGATATTATATTAGTTAAACTGATTCCTCTATGGTTGTCACAGGATGATTTTAACCCTCTCTTATATATTGGGACGATAAGTGATTGTGACCAGTTAGATGGGATAACGTCTAACTCCCAGATCTTATTTAAGATATTAGTCAACCCAATCGCTAAAATTGAACCACCATCCTTAAAGACCTCTGGAGCCAATCCGGCTGGACCAGCTGCCCTTCCTCGTTTCAGATTAACTATAGCCTTTTGAACTTCTGCTAGAGTTGGAGGACCTACTTCAATGTTCCATTCACAATGTCTGGGAATGAAGGGTAGTTGTAGAGTCGCTAAAGGCCAGCTGAACTGTTATCTGAAATGTTCCGCCCATCGTTCTAAATGTCTGGACTGGGAGCAGATGAGGGTGTCGTCTTTTCCCGAAATAGTCTGACTTACACTTGACTTATTAATTTCAGTTTCTTTTATTAGTCTTTAGAGCTGTCTTGTGTTCCTTATAGCTACCGCCTTTTCCATCTCTTTTGCTTTCGTTGCCCACCACTGCTCACGGTGGTTTCTTCCCGATCGAAGCTGCTACCTTGACGCGGTGGTCGAGCTTGCCTATCGTGATGACCCAACCGAGCTATATTGGCTGGAACATATGTTCCTGCAGGTTCTACCATGCCAGGCAGGTCGATTGGTGAACGGTAAGACTAAAAGCAGCAACTCAAGGTCTGAGGGCGAAGTCCTACTGCTGACTGTAGAGGGGTGTGACAGCAGTAAGGTGTTTCCCTCGGACATCCAGCATGACAGCGATGCTGCCTTCCCACATGGAGGGGTGGGGTTAGAAAAGTTCGACCCTGAAAATGTCACACCTCACCTTACCTCACGGATTTCCGTCTCCGGCGGTAAGGCCCTTTGAAGAACGGAGCTAACACGTCAAAAACCTCCCACAAAAAGGCCGTGCGCGACCGGCTTCAAAGCAGTTGTCCGTTGGGCTCTGCGGTCACGCTCCCAGGTCGTCAAGACCAACACTAATCCAATTTCCTTTTCAGGTTCTTCAAGAAATACCCTTCCACGGTGTGGGCAGCCGGGAAGTGACATCAGCCCTCATACCCGCAACAGCACAAGAGACCAAGGTGGTCACATTCAAATCCTTCCTACACCTTCTAATACCTCTCTTATGCCCCCGACTAACCCTCCCCACGTCTCTTCATCACCTCGCACCGCTAGGGCAAACGATTCGAGTATGTGGAACGCCATTCCTGGTCTCCTGAAACCACGCTCTAAACTACACGTAGGAGCTTTTAACGTACGAACAGTTTGCCAAATAGGACAGCAGGCTTCCTTAGCTAAAACTTTAGAATCTCGCGCCATCGATGTGTGCTGCGTTTCCGAAACGCGCATACAGGATCCAAGTAGCGTCATTCATTTGACCTCACCATGCCAAAATAAAGAACCGACTCGATTTACGCTTCGTGTATCTGGAAGCCCTGATTCTGCTTCCCGTGGCCTCGCCGGCGTAGGTATAGCATTGAGTCTTAGGGCAGAACTAGCTCTCTTAGAGTGGATCCCAGTAAACAGTCGTTTGTGCGCTGTCCGACTGAACGGAACAGTAAGAATCCGGAAAGATAAGGACACTCGTCGTTGCCTCTTCGTCGTCTCTGCCTATTCTTCCACTGACTGCAGATCAGATGATGTAAAAGATGAGTTTTACAGAAAGCTTTCCGACCTTCTCCGAAAAGCTAAGCGCTTGGATGTAGTAATAGTGGCCGGTGACTTTAATGCTCAAGTAGGTAAACTAAGCGATAGGGAAAGACACCTAGGTGGATCTTATGGTGTCGTGTCTCAAAGAAGAGATAATGGCGACCGTCTGTTGCAGCTATGCTCAGATAACCGCCTGTTCCTTGCAAATACTAACTTTAAACATAAGGAAAAACATCTTTTAACATGGAGACCCCCTAATTCGTCCCAACGTTGGACCCAAATAGATCACATCGCTATCAGCCACCGATGGAGGGGCTCGATAGAAGACTGTCGCTCATTCTGGAGCACATGCCTAGATTCAGATCATGCTCTAGTGCGAGCGCGTATTTGCTTGCGTCTTACTGGACGTAGGAAAGACGCTGCAAGGAAACATCTTAGGGGCCTACTTAATGATAGTCAAGCTAAGAGTATATTTCAGGAACAACTAGGAAAACAGTTAGGCAGCCATGTATGTGATGCCCACCCCGATGCAGCATGGAATGATATCCGAAAAGCTGTGGAAACAGCAGTGATATCTGCTAGTAAGGTAAACCAGAAAGTTAGGGAGCAACACTGGATCTCAGCAGCATCTATCTCACTGATAGATGCTCGGAAACTCATTCCACCTGGCTCTGAACATAATGAAGAGTGGAGTCAGCTTAAGCGCAAGCTGACAAGAAGTCTACGCAATGATCGCGGACAGTGGTGGGTGGCGAAAGCAAGAGAGATGGAAAAGGCAGCGGCAATAGGTAATAGCAGACAATTGTTCAGACTCGTTAAGGAAACCGGAATTAGGAACCCGACCGTTAGCGAAACACTCTCAGAGAAAGATGGACATATTATTCATTCTCAATCCAGGAGATTGGATCGATGGGCAGAACACTTTAGGGATCAGTTCAACTGGCCTTCAGCCACACTTCGGTTTCCCACGATCTCTAGTCAACCTGAATGGCAAGTTAATGTAGGTCCTCCGTCCCTTTACGAAGTTGAAAAAGCCATAGGAAATCTGAAACGAAGGAGAGCAGCAGACCCTGACAGGTTTACTCCTGAGATTTTTAAGGATGGTGGTTCAGTATTAGCAGTGAGATTAACTGAGGTCTTAGGTAGAATTTGGGAACTGGACGTAATCCCATCTGACTGGTCTCAACCACTGATTGTGCCAGTCTTTAAGAAAGGACAAAAGTCCTCTTGTGACAATCACAGAGGAATCAGTTTGACTAATATAGTGTCTAAAATATTAGCTTCAATAATACTTCGACACTTAATCAAAGCTCGTGAAGAGCAGACTAGAGAAAACCAGGCTGGTTTTCGACCTGGACGTGGTTGTATAGATCAGATATTCACACTACGTCAGGTTCTAGAACACAGACACAAATTCAGACGCCCAACAATTGTAGTATTTCTCGACCTTAAGGCGGCATTCGACTCTGTAGATCGTGAGGTTTTATGGCAGTGTTTGTCACTGAAAGGAGTACCAAAGAAGTACATTAACCTTGTAAAGGCTCTCTACTCGAACACAACTGGTAGAGTGAGAGCTTATGGCGAACTGTCATCAGAATTGATTACCTCAAGTGTTGTTCGTCAGGGCTGTCCACTCTCCCCATTCTTGTTCAACTTTGTGGTCGACGTACTTTTAAAGATAACACTCTCCTCATCTAAATTTCCAGGGGTTGAACTTGTACCGGGAGGTTCACTTGTTGACTTAGAATATGAAGATGACATAGTTTTATTTGGTGAAGACGCTGACAAAATGCAGAGTCTTCTGACCACTCTAAGCAACAATGCAAGCATGTTCGGGATGCGATTCTCTCCCTCGAAATGCAAAATGTTGCTTCAGGATTGGGTTACATCGACACCCGAACTAGTGATAGGGAGTAAAGTAGTTGAGTGTGTCGACCGCTTCACTTATCTTGGAAGTCTCATCAGCCCTTGTGGTCTGGTGTGTGACGAAATCTCAGCACGGATACAGAAGGCTCGACTAACTTTTACCAACTTGCGTCATTTATGGCGTAGGCGAGATATCCGTCTATCAACCAAAGGACGTGTTTACTGCGCAGCAGTTTGTTCCGTCCTACTTTATGGCAGTGAAACATGGCCGGTAAGAGTAGAGGATATTCGTAGGTTACTTGTATTCGATCATAGGTGTCTTCGAAACATTGCTCGTATATCCTGGGACCATCGAGTAAGTAACGCAGTTGTTAGGAAACGGGTACTAAGTAAGGATGGCAAATCAATTGATGACGTAGTGAAACTTCATCAGTTGAGATGGCTGGGACACGTGTTACGTACGCCCAACGACCGACTGCCTCGACGTGCTATGTTCAGTGGTATAGGAGTAGGTTGGAAGAAAGCTAGGGGTGGCCAAATCAAAACATGGCACAAGTCCATGAAGTCACTGACAAGTGGACTGAGTCATGTTGGTAGGTGTAGACTACCTGGTTGGGGACCGCGAGATGATAGCAACCGATGGTTAGAGACGTCGAATGACATGGTTGAAAGTCGTTTGCAATGGCGCAGGTGCATCCACTCTTTGTGTTCTCCCAAATTCTAAGCTTCTGAATTCTTCATGTCCCTTTCTTCCTCTTTCCAAATTTATTACACTGGATTATACTCTTTAAACAACATCTCCAAACCCTAATCTTCCCGATTACTGCTTATACTCTTGCTACCTCTACCACTACGGGATTTGAATCGACAACTGCATCTCTGTGCTAAGGTGGTGTGGCAACTCGAACTGATGTACGTACGTACGAAGTTCTACGTTGTTACTGACTGACTGACGGTGGTTTCTTAGACTTTTGCTTAACCTAGATCTGATTTGTTGTCGCTCTTCATCGTGTTCAGAGCCTGATGGGATGAGTTTACGAGAATCCATCAGTGCAATAGACCTTGAAGAAATCCATTGGTTCTTAGTAACTCTGGTTTAAATCACTAATAGATGTCACTGCTGTTTCCACAGCTGCTTGCATATCTTTCCAAGCAACATCTGGGTCAGCCTCGTTTTCAGAACTACCTAATTGTGACCTCAGTTGTTCTTGGAACCTATTTTTGGTTTTCTCGTTACTCAACTCACTTCTAATGTGTCTTTTTAATGTGGCTTTTTTGCGTCAATTGAGGCGCAAGCAGATGCGTGCCCGTATTAGGGCGTGGTCGGAGTCCAAGCAGGTACTCCAGAATGAGCGACAATCTTCTACCGATCCTCTCCAAAGATGACTGATGGCAATATGGTCAATCTGAGTCCATCGTTAGTTTGGTGTAGGGGATCTCCATGTCAGACGATGTCTCTCCTTATGCTTAAAATTTGTGTTTGCTAAAAATAAACGATTGTCTGAGTACAGCTGCAGCAGACGACCACCATTATCTGTTCGCTGTGCAGGAATACTAAAATACCCACCTAAATACCTTTCTGTTTGGTTTAAACTACCTATCTGGACATTAAAGTCACCCCCTACGTGTACTATGTCTGAGCGTTTAGCTTTCTGAAGAAGTTCAGATAGCTTTCTGTAAAATTCATCTTTCACTTCATCCGAGCTACAGTCGATGGGAGCGTAGGAAGAAACGACAAAAAGGCAACGACGTGTGTCCCTATCCTTCTGAGTTTTCACGGAGCCGTTTAGCCGAACAGCACATAAACGACTGTTAACGGGGATCCACTCTAACAGTACTTGTCCCGCCCTCATGCTTAGTGCTATGCCTACACCTACCAGTCCACGAGAACTGACTATCGGGTCTCCAGGTACATGGAGGGTGTATTTCGTCGGCTCTCCATTTTGCCGAGGTGAGATCAACTGAATGACCACACTGGGATCCTGTATGCGTGTTTCGGAGACACAGCGTACATCAATGGTACGAGATTCTAGGGTTCTAGCCAACGAAGCCTGTTGACCGATTTGACATAGGGTGCGTACATTGAAGGCTCCAATGTGTAGTGTGGAGCGAGGTTTCAGTAGACCTGGGACAGTGTTTTGAGCACTAGAATCGTTGGCTATGGTGACACTTGAGGGGGAAGCCGAAAAAGGAAGTTTAGAGGAGAAAGTCGAGGTAGGGGGAATAATAGGAATTGAAGTGGGAGATTGATTATGAATACAGTGATCTTGAGTGTTGTTAGAGGTATGAGGGCAGTTATCACTTCCTGGTTGCCCACACAGTGAAGGGGTTCTTCTGGAGGTACCTGAAAAGGAAATTGGGTTAGAGGCGGTCTTAGTGACCTGAGAGAGTGACCGCAGTTGTCAAGGGACAGATGCTTGAGGTCAGTCACACACGGCCTTTTTATGAGTAGTTTTTGTGTTAGCTCCGTACTTGTTGAGACCTTACCGCCGGAGACGGATATCCGTGGGATAAGGCAAGGTGTGCATTTTTAGAGTCGACCTTTTCTAACCCACCACTCCTTGTGGGAAGGTAGCATCGCTGTCATGCTTGTTGTCTGAAAGAAACACCTTACTGCTGTCACACCTCTGTACAGTCAGCAGTACGACTTCGCCTTCGGACCTAGGGTTTGTTGCCTTTAGTCTTACCGCTCTTCAACCGACCTGTCTGACATGGTAGGACTTTGAGGAACGGTTGTTCCAGCCAGTATAGCTCGGTTGCTTCATCATGATAGGCAAGCTCAGCCACCACGTCAAGGTAGCAATAACGGTCGTGATCTCCTTGCTACATAAAGTTATTTCTTGTTTAAATGACTGCGCTTCTTGTTACCTAAATAATTCATTAATATTGCTTTTTCACACAGACCAAAATATATAGATGTGAATTATGGCGAAAATATTTGAATAGAGATATTTTGTGTTATTACAATAATGACAATTATGAAAATTACAGCTTCTTGCCAATCTTGTTTCGTATTGCGTTTAGGATAAAATTAAATGTTACACTGGTCCCCTGGTTGTGGTTCAAAATTCACTTTCTAAGACAGCCAACTTTTGTTTTGTTTTATGTTCTTGTTCCAACAGAACAAACTAAACGTTTTCATCCGAGAGATCTGCTTTATAATTCATTTTACAGTAGGTGCAGAGTTGTAGTTTTCAAGTTTACATTACGTATTGATGTAAAAATAACATATTGTGGAGTAGAGATTAATAATATTCCCTTTTTTATTTACTTCAGGCTCAAGCTAAACAACGTGCTGGACGTGCAGGTCGTACAGGTCCTGGAAAATGTTATCGTTTGTATACTGAAAGAGCCTACAGAGATGAAATGTTAGCGACCAATGTACCAGAGATTCAAAGAACAAATCTAGCAAGTACAGTTTTACAGTTGAAAGCCATGGGTATAAATGATTTATTGTCATTTGACTTTATGGATCCTCCCCCATTACAGGTAAATAATTAAATTGAATCCTTATCTTTTTGATTGTCTTAATAATAATAACGTTTTCTAATTTTTTTTGAATTAGTCTACCCTATTATTTATCTTTTACGTTCTGTGAGCCAATATTATGATTACTTAGAATACTTGATGGTTAACTTTGATGTATCAATTAGCATACATACAAACGATGTCGAGACGTTTTATAACACTGAATGGCTTTTCCCTTTCATTTGACATTTATTTCATCGTCTAGGACGTCAAAACCTTCACATCACCTACTTTTTGATCAAGTTGTTACTTATAGAAGATATACTACGTAGTTTGCAAATATTCTGTCATATATTTTTAGGCAAGAATCCGCATCTAATGAACAGCGGTAGCGTAATTTGTAGAGCACACTAGAGGTTGTGTGCCTTTATCGACCTGATTGATTATACGCGCCTAATAAATGTCTATGGCGTACCTTTGTGTTATCAGTCAGTCAAATACAATTTAAAACCTGGCAAATATATGCATTGGTTCATGTTGCCACACCCCAGTAGTACAACGAGATGACATTCTTGGAGTAAATCGCAAAGTAGTAGAGGTTGTAACAGTATTGATGGTAATGGGAAAGACTAGGCACATACAATACACTTCGTGAAGAAAATATATATTGGTAAAATTATACGAAAAAAATTCGGGAGGAATTTAGAAACTTAGATCTACGGGAACATAAAGAGTGAATGAACTTGTACCATTGCGAACGATTTTGAGTCTGAATGAATTGATTATATATTTTTATATGTTCTAATAACTCTTATTACTTAAAACTATACATTTTTATTGCGTTATTGTTATTTTATCCTTCAGACACTTGTCGCTGCTATGGAAACTTTACATGGTTTATCTGCTCTGGATGATGAAGGATTGTTGACACGTCTTGGAAGAAGGGTATATTTTTAATGGTTAATTTTACACTTTAAGATGTTTATTCTTCATTCCTATGGTTTTTATTTTCAAATATATACAACACGTTTTTTATATGGATATTGTTTTGTCGTTTATGAGGTCAAGTGTATTTATCACTGCCATGTATTCATTTGTAACAAATGTGAAAATCTATTTCTTCTACAAGATAATCAAATAAATTTCTAGCCTCCTCATTTATAGTCGGCTAATAAAACCAATGGATTTTAAATTTTACGTTTCACAGTTATCTATAACATTGCATGATTAGTTAAAATAGACTGTTTTCTATTATATAATTTAAGACCTATTTATGATTGTAAAGATTGTTGATTTTTTTCTCAATTGAGATAACAAACCGATCAATGTTAAGCGTTTACGCGCGAGACCGAAGAGTCCTGCTTGCGGGATTGTGGGTACGCACTTCTGAGTAGTTTCATACTAGGACGAAAAGGCTGTCAAATGCTCCCGAGTTTCCAATGTCGGTCTAACATTGATCGGTTCATGATCTCAATTTAAGATTAATAATTCCATTGGTACTCGCTATTCTAGTGTTTTTCACCTCTTGGAAATCTGGTATTTTAATCATTCAATAGTAATCACAGTCTCCTTTCAAGATCAGGGTTATTATTATCATTATTGCCATTGTTATTCTAATCCCTTCGATATTTTTTTTTAAGTGTGTAAAATTGAAAATCATCATCATTCTTTTCATACATATACAATATCTATTGATAATAAGGCTGATTATTAGATTAAGCACGGTGGATGAAAATAATTTTAATATTATCCAGTTATAACTTCTTTTTAATATAACCCCTAATTTTGACGAACTAATTTTTGTAAGCTGTACCAATGTCACTCTCTACCATTGCTCTCGTTTTATGCCCATTTTTTTTCTTTTATTAGTTTGTTTATCAATTACTTGTTGTTGAATTTTTCTGTTTATGAAATCTAGTTTATGGAAGTTCTTGTATGTTTGAACCCATACACACGCACATAAACATATACATATGAACACTTAAGTACAAGTGGGTGAATGCTCCGTTGTGTATGTATTAGCATTTGTTACCATTTTAGATGATAAGTATTATGTTGTCGATCTAGTTTTCTACATCATTATGCCCTAGATTTGGACTATTGTCTTAATCTAGGCGAATTTGTTTAGTAAACACTTTATTGTTAGGATATAGAATAATAAAAAGTCAATACATTTTTATTAATGGTCTATTATGGATAATAATAATTTTGATGAAATATTGTTTTTGTGAATATTTTGTTGTTATTTTTGCGGGTTCCTGTTACTTACTTAAGGAAGGAATTATCTCAGCCGAGTGCGGGAGAGTCCGTTCTCCCTCTCGAAATTCTCTAATATGGTCACGAGTATATATCCACTTCCAAGGAAATCCTACTCACTACCTTCTTGGAGAGAAGATGTTGTTTACGAGATTGAGAAGACAAAAGGCGAATGTTTGGCGACTAAACCAGATTGGTAGGTAAGGAGGAACCGCCTAAGGGAGCTGGAAAACTCTCATTCCAAACCAATGGTGCACATGGGCTCCAGGATCCTGAATAAACAAATGACGTATGAACCTATTGTTGGTCATCGGCTACCATGGGTCTGCATCTCTTTACGTTGCCCCACTGCCTTGTGGATTAGATCTCTAGGTCAAAGGCTCGAGGAGTAGCCTCCTTAGAAAACCACCTGCCTCGTTTTGGGTGCCAGGACAGTATCCCAACCGTCACACAAATCGAATAATGAAGTGTGGTGCACATATATTTGGTGTTTAAATAAATAAATAAATCGTCACATCATTAACTACTGATATGAATATCACATAAGAAATAAAATCGTGCATGTGCACTACATTACTTCTCATTATCAGAATTATTTGATGTGATCATTTTTTGTGAAATTGAACCTTTCAGTATAGCATGTGCACAAATTTTAAAATTTTTTTTGTTAGATCGTAATGCTTTTATACAACTTTCATATTAGTTGTTTATTTATTTGTTAGTAAAAGGTTAAAATTAACCCATTGTTGGCTTTAAGGACTTAATTTTGATCAGTCGTTGTTGGCATATGTGCATTCTGTATGGCTTGTCTCAATATGGCTACTTTGCTACAAGTTTTATCAAACGGATGGACAATGTCTAGAAGGAGAATTCAGGACGCTCATTTCGTCTTGTTTGGAACTCATACGCTGAGTTTGTCTGCATCCTAATACCGACGTTTACACGTGGACTCAAACTGAACACAGTTTGTGTCAACCGCAGGCACATTCGGCTGACGTGTCCAAAATAGGATGAAAAGGGCTCCTTTTTTCTCATCGCTAGCTACAATTCATCCATTTCTTTGTTATAAAGTTTGTAGTATTTATGTACATTATGCAATGAAATTTTTTTATCTCCCTGAATAATAACTTCAGATTATTTGTTATTTGTATTGAACTATTTATTACTAATAGTTCTTAAGTTTACCTCAGCTAAGTATTGTCTAAGATGTCAAACAAATATATGTATATACACGAAGTCATATCTTAATCGTTGAATTAACAGTTATTTTCATCTTAAACACTTCATCTTCGATGTCTGTTGCTTTTTTTTGTGCGATGCGGTTTGCTTTGTTAGCACCAAAATGTTAACCATTAGTTTATTTGGTAAATTTTCGAAATGCCAACTATTAAATCACAACCTTGAATCTCTGTCTACGAATAATTTACCGTCTCACCATTATATATAAGTAATGTAAATGATGTCAAAATTTATTTTTGTAGAATTGTTTTTCTAGCATTTCTAAAGAAAAGAACATAACACTACTACTCAGTCAATACTACTATAGATCTGTTGTGACCTGGATAATTCAGTGGTAATTTCTCTGTCGGTGACACCGAATGGCTCAGGGGCAGTTTATCCCCACGAAATTGCTGACTAGTGTTGAGTTAACGCAAAAAATTGGTCCAGAGCTTTCTAATAAACTTCTCCAATTGTTTGACAGAAAAAGATAGTGCATACGATGTCGAATCACTTAGACCAGACGTACCACCAAATTGGGTGGTAGGACTCAATCAACGCTAATATCTAGCTAAACTTAGTATTGGCTATTTCTCAATGATTGATCAATTGTAACAAGGACTAACCATTTAACGTACTTTACTGAACAAATAAAATGACCATTACATTTATTTTCGAATATAGTACACTAAGAGAATTCGATTGTCTATCATTCTTTCTATCGATTGACCATAAATATACGGGAAATATTCTAATTATATGTCTAAGTTATTATTCAATTCTTCAAACCGTTGCTTCAAATATTTTTGCATCCAAGGTTTTTCTCCCTTATCAACTTGAGTTATGAATTTTCTATTGTTCACAATTTAATCTATCATTCAATCTTTTATCCATGCAGTTTGGTTGTTCGTACCACACCATGTCCATCCTGGTGATTTGTTCGTTGTCGTAGTCTTGGCATAGATAAAGTTTTTTCGGCTTTTACCAACTTCTGTTACCTGCAACGCAGGTGAAATATATGTGTACTTTTTAAATGGCGAGTCTGTTGTATAGCAGTTCACTATATTACTATATTACTTCAACAACCTACACAACTATAGCATATAAGAAGACTGAAATTCTTTGAACGTGGGTGTATTCTAATTCTTCCACATGCTTGGTGTAGGCACCGGGTGGACAATAATAAGATTACTTCGTAGGGTCTATAAGTTGGTTGATAACTCTGGATCAGATTAGATTGTTGGGACATGTGCTACGCGTGCTTAGACGATACATCTCGAATCGCTAAATAAACTGGCATCTAAGGTGGGATGAAAGAAATTTGAAGGCAGCGTAACTGAAAAATATAATCACTAACTATCACTCCGAGTTATACGAGAAAGTTTGAACTTTTTGATTGATACTTGGTATCAATATTTGTAACTATTTAGTGACATAGCGAGAAGTTAGTCTATAGTTTCCTATCCTTCAGTCTCATTCGTTGTTCAACCACACTTTTTCATGTTCAGCTTTACATGACAGTGAATATTACTTCTCCTCCCTATGTTTTACACATGTTTTGGCTATATTGTTGTGGCATCTTGACCGGTTATACATTTTCGCAAGATCTACTTTGTCTAAGACTGAACTGGCTGACAGACTATAAGAATTTATTCTTCAGTTTCTTTTCACTATTTTTTTCTTTTTCTTCATCATTTTGTTAAATTCAGATGGCTGAATTTCCTCTTGAACCAATGCTTTCTAAAATGTTAATTATGTCAGTGCATTTACAATGTTCTGAAGAAGTATTAACTGTCGTTTCAATGTTATCTGTTCAAAATGTTTTCTATCGTCCTAAGGTTAGTATAATCTTTTTTTCTTGTTTTGGTAGTTTGTATTAAAATGAATTAGAAATCAATGAAACATTTTTTCTAGTTTTATTGTGTAAACCGATTCTTGGTTTTGGATGTATCAACCACTAGTTATGTATTTATTATTTATTATTTAAACACATAAACATTGGTACAAGGAGGCACCAAATAGATATGTGCCACATAAATCATTAGATTCGTGTGAGGGCTGTGATACTGCCCGGGTGCCCAGACCGGAGTAGGTGGTTTTCTAAGGAGGTTACTCCTCGAGCCTTTGACCTAAAGGTCTAATCCACAGGGCAATGGAGCATCGTGAGGAGATGCAGTCCCATGGTAGCCGGTGACCAACGATTGGTACGTACGCCATTTGTTCCTTCAGGATACTGGAGCCCATGTGCACCATTGGTTTAGAATCCGGTTAAAGCGCCGGACATTGGTCCTCTCATTTTCGTAAACAACACCCCGCCACGAGAGGGCAGTGAGTAGGACTTCCCTGGCAGAGGCTGTATACGCGTGGCCGTGTGAGAGCATTTCGAGAAGGGCGGGCCCACCCCACTCTCGGTCATACCAGGGCATTTCTTTTTAAATATTATTGTGAAATAAAGAGAATGGATTGACTAATTTAATTATTTTTGACATTCCTTGAGATTCTAATCAATTTGTATATCGTGTGATGATTCAGAGTTGTTCCATCTAGTTGGTAGTATTTATGTATATTTCCATAATTACCTCAGCATTAGTGTTTAGGCTAATACTTTACATTAGTCCATGAAGTAATTGACTATTAGATTAAGCTGTGTTATTAGTTACATATTATCTGGTTATCAAAAGTCCTTGCGATTATCGTAACCAATAGTTGAGGAAGTTACGTGACATGTAGCCGAATATAATATGCCAGATGTATTCACTTTTCATTTTAAATTTATCTTATACTTTTTCTTCTGTGAACTCATTATACCTTGTCGAATTAGTTTGCCTATGTCTGACGTTCCCCGTCAATTCTGATAATGTCATTACTTTTGCTACTCTGAAAGTTGTATTAATAATTTCATCTAGCCATTATGCTATTTTGATGTGACAGCTTGGGTCACTGCACATATGTGCCACGTTCTACGTTGCTTATGCTTGACTGATAAAACCAGATGAAATGTTAAACCCTTGTATATATATAACACATCATATTCGCTACTCGCTTAAAGTATCTAATTTAAACTGGCTTCAAAAATGTTTTTCTTCTGTCCCCAAAATATATAAGCTATTTCTTTTAATACTAAAAAAATAATTTAGGAGAAAACTGAATTGGCTGATCAACGTAAAGCGAAATTTCATCAACCTGAAGGTGATCACCTTACTCTATTGGCTGTATACAATGCATGGAAGAATAATAAATTCTCTGCACCATGGTGTTACGACAATTTTCTGCAAGCAAGAACATTAAAACGTGCTCAAGATGTACGCAAACAATTGCTTGGTATTATGGACAGGTAGGTATTTACTGTTTATTGTTTTATTATTGGATTAATTCTACTATAACATATTGTTATTAGTAAGTCAATATTGCCAGTATGGGAATTTGTGAAGATTCTACTGTGAAAGTCAGTAGTTATTAGCATAGGATTAGGGTTTTGTGAAGATTATGGAATTTGTTCTATAGATTCGATTATCACGAACTGGTCAGTAGTTGTTGAAACATAATCAATGTTGTGTTGCATAGCAGTGCTCAATGTCGAACAACATTCGTTCATCAAGTTTACTGTGTACCTAATATTAGTCCATTTTCCTCTTGGTTTTCGTTTCAATTCATGGTTTTTTCCACATATTTTTGATATACCATAAATCTTGTTCTTTCAATCCTATTCTTGTTTTGTTTCGTATTGTTTAGAAATGTTTCAGTTATTTGAAGACATTATCATGTATTTCTTTGTTACATTTACGGTTTATCTGAATAGGGATTTAATTCAAACTGCTGTTGTTATTTTTCTGGATTAAGTTTTATTTTTTTAGTTCGTGAAAACTTATGGCAAATAATCCCCAGAGTAAGGTCGACATTATTTAACTACCTAAATATCATTTTCTGTTTCTGATCTCGTTTGGAATCGAAAAGGTTTGTATTGAAAGACATATCAATACAGGTTGAAACCGATTTAACATTGACTACAATAAATTCTATGTAGGAAATTGACAAAATATTATAGTGAATTCAATAATCCGCTTAGGAAAAACACAAAAAAGTTAATTATGTAAAACTTTATTCGTCAAGGAGAAAACGTTTATAAATAATACTTAGAATTTCAGGGAGCATATTCTATGTTTTAGTTATCATTTCTCACATATTGTATCAATTTTTAAATTTTAAATTAACATCATGAATCGATAAATGCTAGACCACCACTGAAAACATGGAAGCACTGGTCGGCTGTTTCGTCTTAATATGGGTCTCCTCAGCAGTGGGCATCCGCGGTCCCACACGTGGTCTTACGTTCATCCATTCACGATATCAATTTAAACTCAATTTCCATAACCATCTACTGATGATTTTGTTAAGTTGTAAGCATCAACTTTATTTTCAGCTATGATTTTTGTTGTTCCAGTCTTATTTCTTTAAACACATAAATATTGGTAAAAGGAGGCACCAAATATTTATGTGCACGCTTGGTCATTTGATTTGTGTGAGGGCCGGGATACTGCCCTGTTGCTCAGACTTAAGCACGGGGTTTTCTTAAGGGGCAACTCCTTGATCCTTTGACCTACATGTCTAATCCTCAAGGAGATGCAGTCCCATGGTAGCGGGTGACCAACAATGGATTCATACGTCATTTGTTTATTCAGGATCCTGGAGCCCATGTGTACCATTGGTTTGGAATGAGGGTTTTCCAACTTTCCTAGAAAGGATCCTCCATATCCACCAACCCGGTTAAAGTGCCGGACATTCGCCCCCAAATGTTCTTGTACAACCGAAAGTGGGGAGAGTCCACTGTTCTTGAAGTACTCTCTCATGCCCACCGCGTTTACAGCCGCTGCCAGGAAAGTCCTTCTCGCTGCGGGGGTGTCGTATACGAAATTGAGAGTCTTATGTAATATACGTCATATTTTTTTTGCTTATTTCAGACATAAACTTGATGTAGTTTCATGCGGTAAAAAGACTGCATTAGCACAGAAAGCAATTTTGTCTGGATTCTTTCGTAATGCTGCAAAGAAAGATCCACAAGAAGGTTATCGTACGCTGGTTGATCAACAAGTTGTTTATATTCATCCATCATCTGCATTATTTAATAGACAACCGGATTGGTAAGTTCATTCTTCCCTCAGTGTTTCTCCATGCTGTATTGCAGCTATTCGACTACTGATTTTGTTTATACAAATGTGTGATGCATTGTTAAGACATCAATGCTATCTCTTAGATAAAAATTGAATGTATTCTGTTGAATTTTCCTAAACATTTCCATCTACATCTTTTGAAAAAATGTATGGAATAGACATTCACATTCCAGTTAACAGAAATTAAGTTGATTTAATTCCTTTGTTCCATTAATGATATAGAATCTTGTTATTGTATACAGAAAGGCAGTTGAAAATGACTCTTTCTGTGCCATTCGCAACACTGACAATTTAGTGAAATGCTTAGCTAGAAAAATGCGTAAATTACACAACATTATTCGACTTCTATAGTCAACTACTATTTAGTAATAATTTAAGAAAATCTCAGGTATTCAATTGTACGTATCTTTGATGCGCAGTAGTCATGTGTAGTGAAACAATTAAATTTTTAGAAATATTGAAATCGAACTTTATGGTTTCAGATTATTAAATCTACTGTTACTTAATCTAATTATCATTTCACACTGGGTAACATATTACCTAGCTTATATCTAGTAGTAGTTTGATACAGAATTGTATTTTTATCAAAAAAGAAAAGTTAAACATAATTAATGATTTTGATCTGATTCGAGACTTTTTGGATTTATTCTTGATAAATGTGATTGTTAGCTTGAGATAAAATTCGTTTAGTTTTGTAGATTCACTTTTTGTTACTATATCTTACTTAAAATTAACTGAATATTTCTTTGATGATACTGTTAACAATTTATTCTTATTGTTAATTTCTCAAAATAAAACCTGGACTAATGCATCTATTTAACTTTTTCTACAATAATGTATTCTAAAGGTTTCCTTTTTAAGTCCTAGAGAAAACCATATAAATCAAACGTGTGCATATTTTAACTTTATATTTTTGTATATATCCCACGTGCGGAATCGTGGGTGCCCACTACTGAGAAGTCTCATACTAAGACAAAACGGCCGTCCAGTGCTTCCAGGTTTTCACTGGTGGTCTAGCCTAGATCGACTCATGAATTCAACCGTCATGTATTTTCCTTAAATGTATGCAGAAAAAACATTTAAGGCATATCATAAAATTTCTTGCCTTAATGTATAAATGAATGAAATATATAAGGCACCCTTTAATTCAGGTCATAAATGTATGACCTACTAAATATCCATATTTTAAATTATTTTTCTCTCCTTTTTTTGTTCTACTTATTTCCACGTAACCATCGATACCAATAACATCGGATGTGTAGAACTAGTTTTAATAGATCTATATAAATATGTTTAGGTTGGAAATTATTAAATCTATTCAACAAAACAATAAAACACAAAGGTGCAGAGTACAATGTAAATTGGAGAAATCTTATCCCAATTTGTTGACATTAAATTGTTAACTCTCTTCCCCTCCTCTTTTTTTACTACTCATGAGGAAGGAGTAAACTAGAGCATCAAAAAGAGTAAAAAGCGAATAAATAAGTAAATAAATAAACAATGTTTTGTTTTCTACTATGTACTGATACACACACCAACTTGTGAAGTAACAGTGGTGGTCTTTGTAGTAGAATTATTAAGTAATCACTTAATTCTGTGTATGTATATTTCCTTTTAATGAGAATAATTCTTGAGTTTATTTGAGGGGAGATTAAATTTTTCTTTATATACATATATCATGAAATATTATTATTATTATTACCAACGTTTTGTTAACAAAATAGGACTGCTTAAAAGAGGATGAATAAATTATCGATCACCAAGAGAAAATTAATTTTATGATTTTTTTTATTGTACATATGATTATATAAAATATGTATAATTATGTCATGTAAATTACGGTTAAAAGCTGTTTGCATACGTAGTTGATATCATGTAGATTCAAATGGTATGGCGATGATAGGATTCTGTATGTTTTCTAAAATTGAACTCATGGTAATTAAGAGTTGTCACATAGTACATACTTTACAATTGATCGGTTACTGAGTGGTGACCATATTGGTGTAGTCCTTCAAGTCCTAATCGAATTCTATTACTTAATTTGCAATGTCGCCACTAGTCATCAAGTTTCTTAGTCTGAGAGGCCTTACCAATGAGCTGTACGAGACGGGACTGGCGCGGGTTCGAATCCCATAAGAGACACTAATTTCCTCGAGACTACAAGCACGTCTTGTTGACGAGTTCCAATTGCTCCGAAACCTAGGTCTATAGGTTTCTGTCGACTGCCTACAACCAATTATCTGTAAAAATCTCAGTTAAATTAGCGGATTCTCTGTAAATTTTATATTAGTCCAAGGTATTTTTAACCACATACTGTGATGTTAACAAGGTAATCATTAACAACCAGATAGTAGATTGTATGTGGTGGTATAGACACCAATCTACTTTTCGATGGTGATGACGACTTAAGCTTCTCATATATTCTAAGCATTAATATTCAATTATTGATTTACTCAGAGGTTTCTATTTCTTTAATTAGATCCAAACATCATTATGATCAATTACTTCTGTTTTTATCTGTGATTTAATCATCACACGTAACTAATAAGAAATATAATTTAAATATTCTCATGTTTTGTTAGTTATCATCCACTGATTTAGATTATAAACGTTTTGTTTTTTTAGAGATACCTCTCTTAGTTTCCTGTCGGTAGGTAATGAAATTTCAAGGTGGGAAATATAATCGAATATGATAATTCTTATAAATAATAAGTTTATATCACTCTAATTCATAGTGTAAATGAATTTTAATAATAATTAGAAAAAGAAAAGAAATAATAATCATTAATTCGTGATATTTACAATTAGATTAGGCTTATTAAAACCTAAGTATTTTTTAGATCTTAATCACCTTATACTAATAATTACATATAGAATAATATTTGATTTGTTAAAATGCTTCATATCATCGTATATATATGAATTACACTTTTTCACACACACACACACTCTCTCTCTTTGTTAAATCATTTCATTTAGGGTTGTTTATCATGAACTAGTTATGACTACTAAAGAGTATATGCGTGAAGTAACCACAATCGATCCAAGATGGTTAGTAGAATTTGCACCGAATTTCTTCAAATTTGGCGATCCAACTAAATTATCACGTACTAAAAAGTCAATGCGAATTGAACCATTGTTCAGTAAATTTGAAGAGAAAGATTCATGGCGTATTTCACGTGTTCCAAGGAAATTTCATGTTAAAGTTACATTTTAATATTTATTTAACTAACTTATTGTTGTTCAACTTGTGTTTCAATATAGTATTTTGTTTTTCTCTTGAACAAATACTTATTTATTTATTTTGTACAGATGTCAAGTGTATTTTTAAGAATTCACATAATTTACTATTTAAATTCTTAATGGGAATGATTGTGAAATGTAACAGCGTCGTTGTCCTGTTTTTTCTCTTTTAATACTGCTTCTTTCCTTTTTTTTACAGAAGGATCAGTATACTATTTGTATTTTATTATTTTACCTATGTAATCGACTTGAATTTGTAGTAAAAATATGTATAGTTTTTCGTTGGTTTCATATTTTGGTGTTTTAGTGATCATACTCTGTGCTAAAGTTTTGTCTTAGTTATATGGGCATGAACTTTGTGTATTCTCACATAGTTCTTTGTTGTCTTTTGTTTATCTTGTTGTGAATAGTGTCGCTATTCAACACAAATTTAGGAAGTTGAATTTTATTGACATAATTACAGGATTTAGTTTATTTAGTAATGTGCTTTCAGTCATAATCAACATAGGTTTAACACAAATATTCATTGGCCCAATATAACACCACAGTAGCACGACTAGATGCAATTAACAAGATGGACAGTGAAGTAATTGAAATCGTAAAGTAGACAATTAGAGGCTGAACATTAAGAATACGATTTGAAAAAGTATGTGCCAAAGAATAATAGAAATTAAGATCTAAAGATAAAGTGTGGATAGATCTACGTCTTTATGATGGATTCTATCTTCATCTACGAACAGTGACTTCATAGACTGATGCTATGTATTGGTTCGATCATCCCTAGCTTTCTTCCAACTTCTCTACCAGAAAAATTGTCTTTCGAGTTGATCAATGATTAGACGTACGTAACTTGTACTAGAACCATCACAGTCAATAAGAATTGGTGACCTCATCAACTGATTTGGCACTTTTGCCTAGTATCTTTTTTTTAACCGTAACACTTTTCATCCAATCGCTCTACGAAACGTGAACGGTACCTCAAGAAACCTATTACTGAAAGCTTACAGCTTACACATATCTTCTACTTTCACAGCCATAAGATAATAAAGGGAGTTTTAGGCTGTTTACACTCCCGCCTCTCCTATGCCGTCAGCGATGCAAGTTGTCCAAAGTTAGTCGGGCTTTCATCAGACACCAATCCACCAGGGTTGATGGAAATTCCAAGGTACGTGAAGTAGTCAGCGCGTTTAACTACTTCACTGCCCATCATTAGTCTAGGCGTTGACACAGACCAGTCCTGAACACAACATTGCGAACATGCACTATAGCCCATGGCGATCTTTTCGCCATATAGGACTATGCTATCTACATATTTTAAATCGATAAGTGGACCTCCTGGTTAGAGATCATACCCCAAAACGGGTGGAAAACTAGTAATTTTAGGAGAAATTTCCCTCGATTCGTTCCTTGATTTCAGGAGGGTTGGTGGCTTAGCTACTTAACGCACGATCATTTAGCTACGGAATAACTAACTCGTCTATAAATGTAATGATATGTACACGATGTTATTGGTTTTTATAAAATATATGTTACTCACATTCTGGCCTACAAACAAAAATGGTGCTGGTTTCATAGGATGCACTGGTAGTTTTATATTTAGTTGTAACTCAGTAATGACAAACAGTTTATTGAAAAAATTCTCAGTTTTCTTGTTTAAAATCTGTAAATTTGGCACAAAACTCATTGATTAGCAAAATTTTAAGTTATTGAATTCTCTCAACGTGTTTTGAACACCGTAGCTTGTAGCTAATCATATATACTCATAATGATTATTAAGCATTATATTAAATTGTGATAACCACAATGTTTTGATAGTTCACGTATCATCAGTTTACTGAAAACGTAATTATGCGATTGATTATAGATTTTCTATGAACTCTAGTTTTACAAATCCATACATTTAGAAAAAAAAAATCGTTTTTCTAGAAAATATACAGTAGGCAGTTTAACATTGGAAAAAAGTGTAGGGTAAAGGCGTTTAGAGCTTTTGCAGAATCATAGATATTCACTTCATAACATTTAGTAGTTAAGTAATAGAATGACATTTGATTTCTACAATGAATACAATCATCAAATCGATAGCTAAGAACAAATCGTAAACATTAGACTACTTCAGTGCTAGTTCAAATCAAAAGCGGGTAATAAGATTAAGTCCGTCGTATTTTACTACTCTGTCTTATCGATTGTTCCTGATTGTAAAATAGCGAAGCAATCCCTCGCCATGATAAGAAAAATAAATTATTTTAAGAACATTAAATCGAAATTCATATCCTAGCTTATTGAAGGCGGAAATCATGAAGTGACTAGGTGTGATTTAACATCAGAGGATTTATTTACTTTGGATTTTGATTTACTTCATCTCTGTGCTAATGTGGTATGGCAACTCGAACTGATGTACGTGCGTACGAAGTTCTACATTGTTACTGACTGGATTTGATTAACATTGACTTATGCAGCATCATTACTTACTTACGCCTGTTACTCCTCGTGATGGAGCATGGACCGCTCACCTGCATTCTCCATCCAACCCTGTTCTGGGCAATCCTTTCCAGTTCCTATTCATCCTTTTCATATCTGCTTCTTTGGCCTTCCTCTTTCCCGCTTCCCTTCAGGATTCCAAGTTAGGGCTTGCCTCGTGATCCAGTTTGATGATTTGAGTGATGTATGTCCTAACCACCAACTCCATCGTCTTTTCCTAATTTCCTCTTCAGCTGGAAGGTGGTTTGTTCTCTCCCACAAAAGGCTGTTGATGATCGTATCCGGCCAATGGATGTTGAGTATCTTGCGTACACAACCATTTATAAATACTTGTGCTTTCTTGATGGTGGTTGTAGTAGTTTTCCAAGTTTGAGCTCCGTACAGTAGAACTGTCTTGACGTTCGTATTGAAGATTGTGACTTTGATATTGGTTGACAGACAGTTGTTTTGAGTTCCATATGTTCTTCAATTGTAGGAATGTGGCTGTTGATTTGCCAATCCTCGCCTTTACGTCTGCATCTGAACCTCCTTGTTCATTGATAATGCTTCCTAGGTATGTGAAGGATTCTACATCTTCCAGGGTTTCGCCATCAAAAGTGATCGGATTGCATCATAGTCAATTATAAATAGAGAGGTTATTCACTTCTCTCGACAGTTTCAACAAGAAGTTTGTTTGTGAAAGGAAATCGGCGATATGGTATTCAATGCATTTGACTTTCAACTGGTAGATCCTGAGTTCGAATCTCACTTCATTTACTTTGGTTTGTGCAACTAGTTTATACTAATAAGCATCTCACAAACAGTGGTACACAGTCGAATATATAAACTTATATTCGTTAGATGCGTTGCACATATTTTATAGGTGTACAAGATATTTATCTACAAATAGACTATTTTTATTAAATGTTAGACAATTAAATCTAATCTGTAAGGAACTCAATCTAGGTTTCATGCTGCTTGGGACTTGTCAGAAAGAGGTGTTTCCAATCCTTAGTTGAATTATACCGCTATTTAGATTTAAACTCATAGTGTCAGTCAGTGATGTTACGATCTCGGTATTTCGAGTAGCGACTAACCTCCCATAAGATATACTTGAATTGAAATTTGTTTTTCGTAGAACTATTTAATTTAATGTTTTCACATGTTTATGATGTTTTTAGCTGTATCAAGTGAATAGAATGTATGATCGCTTGTATTTATCCAGTTTAAGGAAGTGTTATTACTCTGTTTCATAGATTAAGCTAAATAATACGATGAAAAGAGAATATTCAAAATGAGAAAGACATGATCTTTTTATCTTATTAATTCATAGTATGTAACAAGAGTATGTCTAGTTAATAGATAAACTCATAAACAAGGAATAAGTGACAAGCTAGATGATGTTATCATTTTAAATGTTATATAACTAAGAATTACTGTTGTTGATGGGTAAATCTTCAAAAGTTTCAATTTACCATTACAAATGATATGAAAACCAATAAATTACAATATCAATTAATAGTATTGTTTTTAGTGTCAATTTTAAGTAGTTAATTTTAAAAGAACTGCTAGGTCATTTGGATGATTATTATTATTATTATTCACTGTTCAACTAGTGAATATATAGCAAGCATAATTGTTCATCTGTCAATATGTGATTCAGTACACGTATCTATTCATTACACGCAATTTATAATATATTTGACGTCATCAGAATTTGGCATTCTGTTGGGAAAAACTATATATATATATATATATAGGTTATAAAACGTTGGGTGTAAATAAAATGGGAAATATATATATTTCAATGACTCATAGTTATTGTTTTTTTTTTCAATGTTTTCTCTTTTTATAGAATGATTTGTACTAGATAGGTATATGTTTATTAGACCATTTAAATGTTATTTAAATATAATGCCAAATAATGAAGTACAATGTTGTTCTTTTCAAAATAATAATAAAGATAATCTACATTCAATTCATGTAACAGTTATGATATTCAATCAAAATATTTAATATTAATAACTACAATGAATGATATTATTATGATACCTTTTCTAAATCATCATGTTTTTGGTATTACTCTATTCACATTATTCAATGATTTATATACATCTTTAAATCTATCAAATAGATGGGATCGTGGAAACGCATTACTGAAGAGTCTCATACTAGGAGGAAACGACCGTTCAATGTTTCCAGCTTTTCCATAGTGGTCTAGTTTCAATTGACTCATGATCTCAACCATTGAAATTACTATAATATCCACAGAAACCCTTCTAATGTGATTAAATTAAAAAGAAAATTGTTTTTAACTCTAGTACCTGTTCCAAGATCTTATAGCCTTTATCAATCATATATGATTAACCTTACTATGTATACATTTATTAATTTAATGCTCTCTTTTTATTACCATTGCTCACTTGTTTTATATACAATAAACTAAAAGTTTAAAGATTAAACTGAATAACTTTTTTCTTTTTCAGACATAACACATGGCTGAAATATCATGGTAAACTTAATTATAATAGTCTGTTTTACATTCTTGAATTCCTAGAATACTTTTTACATTTTACAAGAGCACATATTGAATAAAATTTTAATAATAAATTATATCAAACAGTTGATTCTTTTCTGGTATCATAAAGCATAGGAAAATTAGTTGATTCTATTTCAATTAAGATATTTAACTAAGATAATTAAATATTTAATTATCATTTCGGCTAAGGAATGATTGTATTATGCATAGATTGACACAGATATTTAGTAAATACATTTCAGAAGGGGTTTGTTGAGATTTTAGAAATTTCACAGATTGAAATCATGATTCACTTGAAGCTAGACCACCATGGAAAATTGGGGTGCGGGATCGTGGATGCGCACTGCTGAGGAGTCCCATATTAGGACGAAACGGCCGTCTAGTGCTTCCAGGTTTTCCATGGTGGTTTAGCTTCAACTGACTAATGATTTCAATCTGTGAAATACATCTCAATCAATATACTGCAAAATATTCATGAAATC